ATCACTAGTTGATTTCTCGCGTTTTGTTCGTCAAGTAATCAGTGGAACGTGTATGATTCATTAATTCTAAGCATGCATCACATTTTGTTGACCAAGTCTGGAGCTAACCTGTCTATCTGCTGTTTTGTGCTCTACAACCAGAAGTCTGGAGCACAAGTTTGTACTATGAGATTGTAATAATTTTACTTTAAAAAACAAATTATAACACCAATATTTTACCCGTGTGGTCGAGGGGACTAATTAGAAGTTCTACATAGACAGATCATGGTTCGCAGAGCGTGAACTGAGGATTAGCAGTCGCAACGTTGAGGAGCTCCGGCAGGCGGCGGAAACAAGGATCCCCACGGGACTACGGGAGGATTAGCAAATCCAAATCCAATTTAGGTTGGCGATCTAGGCTGTTCCCAATAATGATTTATGATGGGCGCCACTTTCCCTTGTCTGATCAGAAGTTATATGGGCCAAATGCCGATCTTGATTACCGTAAGTTTTGTAGGCCATACTTGGGTCGAAATAATTTTTTTGGCCAAACTTGGATCTCGATCATTATCTGCCATCCATAAATCTTTTTTAGAGGAATCTGCCATCTATATTTGAGTATACTAAATTGGAAATGCAGTTAATCCGTTGAGATCCAAATTTGTGGGCAACGCATATTTGTTTGCGATACAAATTGTAATCAATCAACAACCGGCCAAGTCGAATGCGTGAAGCTTTGTGCGCGTCGCGCCCGCGCGAACGCTTCCAAGTTCCAACAGCACCCACTAGGCCACAAATAGGCTCAGCGACCTCCCTTCTCCGGCCCACGTGCGTGCGGAAGCCTACGTCTATCTTTCCTCCTAGGCTCCCTCCTTTCCCAATTTTCAGAGGAATAAGTTCACTTCGTGACCCTCAAAAGTGATCGAAATCTAATCCATGACCCTAAACCACAAAACCGGATATCTTGACCCCCAAACTCTTAAAACCGGTGCAATTTGACTCCCTCGGCGGTTTTGGAGAGCGGTTTCGCTGATGTGGCGCATATGTGGCGATATTGACCGAGTCTTTGTTCCACGTGACGTTGACGTGGCACTTACGTAGTATTAGAATTAAAAAAATACATGGGACCCGTTTGTCATTCACATCCATTAAAAAATATAGGGCCCACTGACATGTGGGGCCCATATGTCAGTTGGATATCCGGCGGCGCAGCCGTGCCAGCGTGGAAGAGGGAGGCGGCCACTTGGGGCTGCTACGAGATGAGCAGGACGGTGGCGGTGGCCACAAGTTCCAGCCCTCTGAGCTGGAGCAGGGTCGAGCTGCCTGCCCGCCACCGTCGCCGCCGCCGCTCCGGCCTTTGAGCGCCCGCCGACGACTTTTGAATCCATGGCAACACACTCGCCCGAGCGCCCATCGCCGCCTCGCCATCGTCGACTCCTCCACTCCGAGGACCGCCTGCCAGCACAACACCGCGGCCCATGCCCCGCCGCCGGCCGAAGGGGAAGAAGGGGAGAGAGAGAGAAAGAAGGAAGAGTCGTGCGGTCGCCCTGCTACGGCTCTGCTTGGGCAGTCCCCGCTGGATGGAGCTAGGGAGTAGGAGGATGGTCGTCCCTTGGTCCCTTGCCGCCGTCGAACTCGCGGGGCAGGAAGCGCCAGCGTAGGTGGTGAGGTCCTCGGGACCGCAGCGGCAGGCGGCAGCCACCCACCTCACCGTCGTCGCCGCGGCCGAGCGCTGGCCTCGCCATCGTCGAATCCTCCACTCCGGGGACCACCGGTCCAGCGCCACCGCTGGGGACGCTTCAGCTCCCACCGGCCGGCACCACACCGCTGCCCATGCCCCGCCATCGCCAGAAGGGAAAGAATGGGGAGAGAAAGAGAATGGAGAGGGAGGAGGAAGAAGGACTGACATATGGGCCCCACATTTTTTTAATGTGTGTGAATGACAAACGGGTCCTACACATATTTTTTAATTCTAATGCCACGTAAGTGCCACGTCAACGCCACGTGAAACAAAGACTCGGCCAATATCCCCACGTAGGCGCCACGTCAGCGAAACCGCCCTCCAAAACCATCGAGGGAGTCAAATTGTACCGGTTTTAAGAGTTTGGGGGTCAAGATATCCGGTTTTGTGGTTTAGGGTCATAAATTAGATTTCGATCACTTTTGAGGGTCACGAAGTGAACTTATTCCATTTTCAGACAATCCAGCACATGCGTTCGGCCCACTTGTAATTTTGGAATCCATGTACACAGATAACCCACGTGCAAACTTCTCTTCGCCGAAGCTACCAAAATAACAATAGGAGATGGAAACACGATCCGCTTTTGGGACTCCGCCTGGCTGGACGGGCAAAGACTAAAGGACAGCATGCTGCTCGTCTATGCAATTTCTAAGAAAAGAAGCAAATCGCTACGTGAAGGCATTGAAAATGACACCTAAATGGGAACACTACTTTTACAGTGGACCTGATCAGCCAGCTTGTATCCCTATGGAGCTCAACCCAGGACATCATGCTAAACCAAAATGAGTCAGATCACATAGTCTGGAAGCTCTCGAATCATGGAGAATACTCGGCCTCTTCGGCATACAATGCTCAGTGTCTAGGAACAGTCGGCACCAACTTCAATCCCCTAATTTGGAAATCTTGGGCCCCTACAAAATGCAAATTTTATGCGTGGCTTGTGATTCAAAATAGAGTCTAAACTTCCGATCGACTAGCTACAAGAGGATGGCTAAATAGCGGAGAGTGCCCCCTATGCCGTATGACGAACGAGACGGCATGCCACCTTTTAGCTTCCTGTAGATACACCAGAAGGATCTGGAGACTGACGGCCGGCTGGGTGGCTTATCAGCAATTGGATCCGAGCAATTGGGAGCCATGCCAAAGCGTACACAAATGGTGGGAAATGCTATTGCTAGCCAACAAAAGGGAAGTGCCCAAGAAAGGGCTGCGATCCTTAATCCTACTCATAGCCTGGGAAATCTGGAAAGAAAGGAACCAAAGGATCTTCGAGCATAAGGAAACGGCAGCCCCCAATCTTATGGCAAAAATAAAGGAAGAGGCAAGAATCTGGATAATGGCAGGCGCAAGGTGACTTGGAGAATTCCTACCAACTTAACCATAGTGCTTATGTAATTTTGTACAGCTCTTTTTTTTTTTGCCCCTAGGGGATATATTTTTTTACGCCTATATCTAATGAAATAGCACAATCTTGTGATGATTCCTTTCAAAAAAAGAAAAAGAAAACCCACGTGCATTTCCTTCGCCCAGAAAAGTTTTTACATAGAAATATATTATTCTACTACCTTTTACATAGAGGAAAAAAAGGAGGGGTAATGAGAACAACTGGATTGTCATGTAAGGGATAAAAAAAAGGTGTTTGGAATTCATAAGTTTCGGTCCCCTGAAATCTAGACACTCCCATGTGAATTTCATAAATAAGAATCAACAGGAGGTAGATAATCAAATTGTTTTATTGTGACATCCCGGCCTAAGGTTTAATAGGATTAATAGAATACTCATATTAACAAGTTACAACTTCTTTTCCGGAAGCCGATCTCTAAATCTGAGGTTAAGCGTGCTTGGCCTGAAGCAATTTAGGGATGGGTGACCGATCGGGAAGAATAATTTATGGATGGATGACCGATCTGGTTTGTGAGGGCAATCTATGACCTATGAAGGCTGTCAGATGTAAGCGGGCTCGGCCTGGGATAGGCGAAACGTTACATTTATCCTGTTTTTTATGTGATTTTAGTCCCTCTAATATTCACTCAAAGCAGTGTACTCTAATATAATTCCTCCTCCTTTATTCGTCATTTCTCCTTTTCCTAAATCCTAATCTTGTATTGGAATTGTACTTTATGTAACATTTTAAATCTATGAACGATCTCACTTGTCCTCCTAATGGAGCGATTAGTTGAATTGAAGAAGAAAAATGGTTTTGAAGGTTCTGGATTAGGTCTAATTTTTTTTAGATTATTCTTTTTTTTACTAATAGATAACTTTGGGATTATTTTGAGAAAGTATTGAGCCACGTGGTAATATTGGCCGGCAGTGAAAACCGCCAGCATTAGTAAGATAGATACACAAAATGATTTAAATTGCTCCAGGCCAAGCACGCTTAACCCTGGAGTTCTTTGGAGATTGGCTTCCGGAAAAGAAGCCCTTAAGAGAGATGGAGATTGGCTTCCGGAAAAGAAGTCCTAGGCCGGGATGTTACACCGCCGGGATGTTACACCCTCACCCCCTTAAGAGAGATGGAGATTGGCTTCCGGAAAAGAAGTCCTAGGCCGGGATGTTACACCGCCGGGATGTTACACCCTCACCCCCTTAAGAGAGATGGAGATTGGCTTCCGGAAAAGAAGTCCTAGGCCGGGATGTTACACCCTCACTCTCTTAAGAGAGATCGACGCCCCCGTCGATCAACCCTTAAGTGAAACCGCGAGAGTCGGCTCTGATACCATTTTGTAATATCCCGCCTTCCCCCAGGCCGGGCCCTTAAGTGAAACCGCGAGAGTCGGCTCTGATACCATTTTGTAACATCCCGCCTTCCCCCAGGCCGAGCCCACTTACATCTGATAGCTTTCATAGGTCATAGACTGCCCTCACAGACCAACACATGTCTTTTCTGTACACTTTGTCCTCACTCGTGTACACCCACCCGGGAAGAATTTCCCGGTCGGTCACCCATCCCAAATTGCTCCAAGCCAAGTACGCTTAACTCTGGAGTTCTTTGGAGATTGGCTTCCGGAAAAGAAGTTGCAACTTGTTGATATGAGTATTCTATTAATCCTATTAAGCCTTAGGCCGGGATATTACAGACAGCGTAATCAAGATCGTTCATATGCTTGAGAAGAGAGTTGGGTGGTCCAAAGTGAAACAAAGGCAAGTTTACCCAGTCCTAAGTGAAAATATTGCTTAAAGGTTGATCCAAAGTGAAACATCGGTAACAAAAGGTAGCCCGAAGTGAAATTTACTCTATATTTCTTGATAGGGCAGAAGTAAGTTTGAGTTACTACCATTGTTGTCTAAACTTGGGGTGATCTAGACCGTCCAAACGCGCACAGACATTAACTAGTTTAAAGTTCATGTCTAGGCAGTGGAAACTCATCTTTTAGTTCTCAACTGAGCACGCCCAGCAAACAAGAAAATGACATCGTGAGAAAACATATTATTGCTAGCTGATTACAGTTCGACAGCTTAACGGGAGTTCAGCATTTATCATACTGAGGTGCTCCCAGGCTACGAACCCGGGCCTTGCATCTGGCGGATTAATTAGTTGTTAAGCACATGCCTTCTCTTAACCCTGACCATGAGACCATTCTTCATGTGAAGTACGATGGAGAGTGCGGGCTCGACGACATGGCCGGGCATGGCCTCGATCTCGAAGTTCTTCACCACGGCCGCCGCCACGGCCTTGAGCTGCACGAACGCCATGTCCTTGCCGAGGCAGGTCCGTGGCCCTGAGCTGAAGGTCATGAACTTGTACGACGGTACGTACCGCAGCTTGCCGTCCTTCGATATCCACCGCTCCGGCCTGAACTTCCTGCAGTCGCTACCCCACACGGCCTCCATCCTCGCCATCGCGAACAGCGACACCACGATCTTGTCGCCGGGACGCACGTCGTGACCGCTCGGCAGCGCGTCGGCGGCAAGCACGCCTTTGTGCTCCAACGGCACGGGCGGGTACAGCCTGAGTGTTTCGGACAGTGCAGCGTGCAAGTACACGAGTGGCCTGAGCTCGTCCGGGTCGAAGGTCACCATGCCGTCAGGGGTGGTGATGCCGTTGACGGAGTCGAGCTCCTCTAGGATCTTGGACACCACGCATGGGTTCTTGGTGAGGAGGTAGAAGAACCAGGAGAGGGCCATGGCGGAAGCGTCTCGGCCGGCGGAAATCAGGTTCATGGTCGTGTCACGGAGGAAGGAGGAGCTCGCGTTCTCCTCCTCGTCGTCGTCGTTGATGTAGGACGAGAGCAGATCGGCCGAGCCATCGGCCTCTCCCTTGGCTTTCTCCGCCCGCCGTTTCTCGATCGTCTCGTTGACGAAGTGGTCGCAGGCGCGCAACGCCTCCGCCATGGTGCGCTCGTATCCGATGCCCAGCCTCCTCGCCAACTTCCACCAGGACAGCGGGAAGATGTGGCGGACGAGGAGCACGCGCGTCGCGTCGTCCATCGCGCGCGCGAAGGCCACCTCCGGTAGGCTGATCGCGAGGCACCCCGTGTCGGCGCCGGACACCACCATGGTCGTGGTGTCAAACGTCAGCCTCATGAACACGTCTTGCAGGTTGCACGACTCTCCCGTTGCCGCGAAGTGGGCGAGCAGCGGGAGCAGCGCTTTCTCCACCTTGGCACGGCTGCACCGGGACACGAAGGCCCGGAACCGTGGCCTACACGTGAGCAGCTGGGCCTTGGCTCGTTGGCGGCGCCATGAATCACCATCAACGTTGAAGATGCCATCACCGAAGATGTCAAATATCTCGGTGAAGTCTGGACCCTTGGGGTAGTTGGAGAAGTTGGAGGTGAAGACGTGCCGGACATTGGCTGGGTCGCAGGTGATGAAGAGCCGCATGTTGGAGCTCGGTGGACCGGTAAACCGGAAGTTGAGCTGGGAGGCTGTGAGCAAGGAGGTGATCCAGTCGTGGATGCGGTGGCGGTTGGCTAAAAGATCAGGGAGCATGCCGATCAACGGCCAACACACTGGGATGGCAGTGTTCTTCCTCTTTGACTTGATATGGTTGTAGGAGAAAATACTAAAGCAGAGGAAACAGAGCGCGAGCTGGAGAATGGAAGCGAAAGCCATTACTTGACTGTAAAGTTTGCACGTACGAGCTCGTCACGGTGATCATGGGAACGTTTGCAGTGCCATACGTGTATTAATATACTCAAGCGAGTAGTAAGATGAGGCGGGCGATGTTAGAGACAGTGTTGTAATTTCTGACTGAAATTTGTCACAATGATATGTATCATATATTGATATAAAAAAGATAAATTCATTAATGTTAGCTAATACATTTGCTCGAATCAGCTAGCCATCGATGGATGGGAAACCAGCTTTGCCTTTTAAGTTTTATAAACTCCTAACCGCTGCACATTGCCGCCATCTTGTGTCTCCTTGCGCCTGTTGCTCTTGGTGTCACCGTGGGAAGTGGATACTACTCATTCTGGATGCTAAATCACATCACATCTGGACAGAGTTTTGACTAGTGTCTCCCGTAGGCAACTAAATATCCCATTCTGGCTTTGTTCTAGTTGCCTTACTTTTCTAAGCAAGGTTACAGTGTCGTCATGACATACGTCAATTCCTGTAACGGTTGGATATATCCTCGAGCGTTATCAGTACCACTGTATCAAAATTTAATTTCTGAATTTTCCATTTGAAAAGTGTTACACTGAAGTTCATGCCAGGGATATCAATTAGTTCTCCCTCTACATATACCCAAATTAAAATATAAAAACTGAAATCGGAAACGAAGTTCAAATAAAGATTTGGCATTTAGAAAATTCAAAAGTTTTTTACACTATCAATGATTACGAATGGTAGCAATCCAATGTGGGGCTTTCCATTCGGCCATTTACTTAGCTTCTCCATAATATATATGGGCTTCTATTCGGCCCAAATTTCCTGCTCACTCCGTTGAGCCCATCAGTACCGGATCGCACTACCAACGGTAGGGATCCAATTTTGGCTGTCACTAATGGCTGTGTTCCGTTCGGTAGTGGCAGCGCTGCAGGCCTGCAGGCACAGCAACAGGATCTACCAAGCAAATCCCTTCTTTCTATAAAGTTAAAACCAAAAACTGAAACCCCGTGCTTCCACATCATTATCAAATTATGAACCATTGGATGAATGTATTTAGATTGCTTCTCAGACATTGGATGGAATGCAGCATAGAGCCTAACCCATTAGTCACCGATCGGGTGAGTCTCTTGGCCTCCTCAGTGCCAAATATAGCTCACATGAACACATTGGCCCATCTCCACATACATCTACATATATCAGCCCGTCAATCCGTATAAAAGAGCTTTATGGCTGAACGCTCCTTCAGTTGATATGTGCTACCTAAATTATCTATAAATTTTTGATAAGGCTGCTAAAAAGAATTTCTCCAAGAAAGCTATTTGTTTCTTCTATTTCTTCTTAATATTATACCTTTTATCTAACAAATTGATGTTAACCAAGTCCCGCAGCAACGCGCTGGGCATCCTCTATTTATACTAAAAGAGCCGCAGCACTGCTGCTGTACAGCCACCATCTAACTTAACCGAATAGACCCAATGTTCTCCAAGAAAAGTTGTAGCGCCCGTTCCGCCGTCGTGGCGCCTAGCGGGAAAATTATCTCTAAAAAAAACCCTAATTGCGAAATTTGTTTCTTTGCTTGTTGTCTAGTGTCCGTGCCATCTCAGATCTCAAATCCCCGATCTATCGTCGAGTTTAATTCCGAATCCAAATCCTTCCAAATCAAATTCCTCCGCAAAAGTCTATTTTGCCTCCCCCGGGGTCGATGGGCCGAATTTCTCTCGGCCCATCTCCCCCTCCCTCCCGGCGCTCGCTCTCTTTCTCTCTCGCTCTCTCTCTCTCTCCTCTCCCTCCGCTCCGCCCGCGCGCTGCACGCGCGAGCGCGTGAGCCGCGCCGAGCGCCCCTCCTCCGCTCCCTCCGCTCTATCCGCGCGTGCGTGAGCCGCCGCGCCGAGCGCCTCCCTCCCCCTCCGCTCTGCCCGCGCGCAAGCGCGTGAGCCGCCCGCGCCGAGCCGAGCCCTCCTTTCCGCTCCCTCGCTGCCGCTCCCCGCGCGTCGTTCGCGCGCGCGCCCGCGTGGTCGTCGCCCGCGTCGCGTCTGCGCCGCCCGGCCCCGCTGCCCTGCCGCGCCTGCAGCCGCTCGGCCCCGCAGCCAGCGCGCGTGCCAGAGCCGCGCCACTCTATCCGCCGCGCCTCCCGTTGCAAGCCGCGCGCGCGTGCCGAGTGGCCGACCGCCTGGTCGCCACCATCGTCAGCGCCTGCCCGCGCCTGTCGCCCGTGTCACCGCCCCGCCGTCATCACCGTCGTCATCGCCTCGGCCCCGCCACTCCGCGCGCAAGCCGCCAAGGGACGGAGGCAGAGCCCTCCTCCCTCTGCCGCGACGCCCCCGCTCCCCTCCTCCTTTTCCCAAAGAAGAAAGGGGCAAGCCCCCTTTCTCTCCCTCCTTTTCCCCTTTTCCTCCCGCCGGCGTCACCCTCCCTCCGCCCTGTCGCCGATTGGACGCGAGCGCCGAGCACCAGCTCGCGCCTTGACCGCCCAAGTCGGTTCCAAACCGACATTGCCGCCCTTAAAGCCCAGGCGCCCTTCCTCTCTTCTCCTCCCATCTCCATTGTTGCCGCCCCTCTGTTTCGCCGTCGCCGTTCGTCGTTGCGCGCGTCGGAGGAGCCGGCACGAGCGAGGACGCGGAAGGGGACTCCGGGCGCGCCCTCTCCTTCCTCTTCCCCGGCCCGAGGCCGGAGAGATCACTCCCGCGCCGTCGGCCTCTCGTCACAGCGCCCTCCTCGTCTCGGTAATGCCTCCCTCCGTTCTTCCTCCTCGCTCCATCTCCCTCCCTTAGTTTTCGGTAGTAGCTCGAGTAGCCTCCCCGTAGCTAGCCGGCGCCGCCCCGACCGTTGCCGCCGCTCGCCGTGTGCTCGCCGCCGTCGCTGCCCGAGCTCCGTAGCACCCGCCCGTCGCCGGCCTCGCTCGGCGTAGCTCCGCTCAATCCGACGCTAGGAACGAATTCCCGTGGCCGCGTAGATGCTCTCACCGCCGGGAATTGGCCCCTCGTGACCTCGTCGCCGTTTTCCCCTTTTGCTCTCCGCCGGTTACCGCCGCCAAAATCCGCCGCCGACGGACTCCCTCCGGCGAATCCAAGCCGTTGGCTCGCTCCCTCTCATTCTCCCTCGTCATCCCGGTGTACGCCCCGTCGCCCCTCATCGTCGCAAGGCGCCTCGGAGAAACCGCCGCCGCCCGCCGTCCATTCGCGGCCGGTGCCTTCGTCTTCCTCCCGCCAGCCCACGTGGCAGCCACGTAGGCGCCACGTCGGCGCCAGCTCGGCCGAAATCGGGTCGGGCCGACCCCGGTCAGCCCCTCCCGTGCGCGCGTTCCAACGCGAGCCGTGAGGCTGCGCGTGGGCCCGCCGCATCCTTTCCTCCGCGAACCGCGCGCGTGCACCGCGTCCCTCCCCCGCCCGCGCGCGTACGCCGCGTGCTCGCTCCGCACGGTGAACCGAGTCACCATCAAGCGGGTCCCACCCGAGACCGCGCGCGGTGAGCCCGGTCCACCGGCTCTCTCTCTCCTCCCTCCCGCGCGCGTGCGCGCCTTGGGCCGGCCGGCCCATTTAGCTCGGCCGGTCCGCTCCATTTCCCTTGGGCCGCGCCCTAGCCGCCCAAGAAAAGTCTATATTCCCTCCCTTTTTTCTTTTCTTTTCTTTTTCTTTTCCAAAAAGGATTTAATTAAATCCTTTTCCTTTAGACCAAAAATCCAATAATCTTAGAAATTCAATATCTTCCCAACCGTAAATCCGTTTGACTCCGTTCAACTTCCAAAATTTCTCAAATCTCGAGATCTATCTAATGGCACGCTTAGAGGTCATTAATAGGGCTTTATTTTCGCCGTTTGTTGAGTTGTCCCGTTTCGCGTGTAGTTTCGGAGCCCGAAGACCCGCGGTGCGAGGATTTCGAGGATCAAGCTCCAGATCTCGAGCAAGGCAAGCCACCTTTGAACATCTTGAGCCTATATTTGAAATTTAATTATGTTGCTTGAAAAATATTAAGCATTGATAGGATCGCACTTAATCTGTTTGTCCCGTCTGCAAGGCAGATTGGCGGACCTACCTAGTTTGTTGCATTTGATCCTTCCTTTGTTAATTGTTATACCATGTTCCCTTGTAACCACCCAGTTGTGCCTCGGAAATCGTGCACTCTGCACGAGTATCGACGGCCGCCTTCAAACTTAAAATCTGAAAAACTTCTTGGGTAAAACTTGGGTTTTACAAAAGACTTGGAAAACCCGACACCTGGGTCGGTGCTTGCGAACTAAATGAATTTCCCAAAACCGCGGACCGGGGAACGTACCGGGTGTACGGTTTCCCGCTCTTGCACTTAAGGACCGTTTCCTTGGAATTTCATCCAAACATAAGACAAGTACGACCACATGGGTGGAATGGGACACCCCTGGCTGAATAACTAGCTTATCAGGGGAGCCTTGATGCCGAGAGACATGTGGATTCGCCGGGGTGGTGTCGGGGAGGACCCCTGGGCTTCCTGGCACAGTATGGTCTGGGACCTAACCTGTTGTTGGTCTGGGACCCCTCTCGTCGGCATATGGTAAACCTGTGTCGGCTTTGGAAATGCCTTGTCATGAAAGCTTGGAGGTCTCCCGACGTGGCTGATCCCCACGGGCTAGGTGATCCGGGTTAGTAATGTCGTGTGGGTAAAGTGTGCCCCCTCTGCAGAGGTTAACAATCTGTTCGAACAGCCGTGCCCACGGTCATGGGCGGATGTGAGGTGATTCCTAGCGTAGTTTTGGTTGACTACTGCTTGTGAAATTGCTGTTGTGGAAAGGGGTTCGATGTTTGAAAAATCTGCAGCTGATGGGATCAGCTAGGCCCAGGTGGCCGTTTGAAAGTTGTTGGCCCGAGTGGCCGTTTGAAAAGCTGTTGGCCGGGTGTTGCACATACTCCGACCGGACGAGACGCACTGTCTCATCCGCGTCGTTTGAGAAGCACTCACTTAGTTGTTTTTAGAAAAGAGTTCAAATAAAATCAATTGCAAAAACAACAGCCTTTCTCTGAAGCCTGCATTAAACACTTATTTCCCATGGCTTGCTGAGTACTCTCGTACTCACCTTTGCTCTATATAAATAATCCCCCCAGTTGCTGAAGAAGATGAAGCGGATCCTGCTGTTAAGGAGTTCTTCCAGGAGCAAGCCGGCTACGATGCTTTTTAGGGTTTCGGCCTAGTTCCCAAGTCGCGCCTGTGTTGTTTGGTCCAAGTCCTGGCTTCCGTTTCCCTTTTGTAATGCAGTTGTGAGCTCGGGATCTGTCCGCAGCCCAACATGACTGTACCTCTACTCTATAATAAAGAGACCTCTGTTGCTGTGATATTCTGTCTTCCTGTGATACCAGCACTGTTTCCTGGGACTGGTATCGATTAACAGGTTAATTTGGAGCGTCACGGGCTAGTTCCGGTCGGGACTAGTTCGGGGCGTGACAAAAGTGGACCTCGTATGTATCTCTGATGTGCACAATGAGCTCCGATCCGTTTTACGCTAGCAGTTGGAGCTACCACTAGTAACGATAGGCTAAAATAGTTGATTTTTACGGGCGGCTCCACAACGGCGTGCTAAAATCGCAAGCGGACCTCTTATTGTGATTATTTTTAGCTAAAAAATTTACAAAATGTACCCAAGAACTCCAAAAAAAAATTCACAGAATTCCGCATCAAGCATTTACAAAAATTCACATCCAGGAACTCTAGCCCCCCCCAATAATTTCTTTCCCCAAAACCAAATCCCATAACCTAGCCGCCATGGATAACCTCACTAGGGACCTTGGATGTTGCTAAAGCCGCCGTCGACGAGCCACCATTGGCCGCCGAAGGATCCACCCCCTCGAGCCAGATGTGGGAGAGGGAGGGGAAGAGAGTGGGAGAGCGAGCACACTGCGTCCTCTGCTTCTATTGCCGAGGGTGGCCTCCACCTTCTATCCGGCCAGATTTAGGAGGAGTGGGGGAGCTGGCACGGTTGCCCCCTTTGCTACTATCATCATTGTAGTTAGTTTATAGCATGTTATTGTATTTGCTCTGATAGCTGTTAGTTAGGAGTAGCTGTTAGTTAGGAGTGGCACTTTTCCCGATCATATCTCCTCTCATTGAGATCGCGACAGTGTTTCCAGGGATGGCTGCATGCTGTAAAGAAAACGAAACATAAATGGCAGTAAGACTACATTATTTGACTCTTCGATCTTTGATCTTATTGTTTTGTTCATGCTTGTGCTTGCTTATTAGTAATTTAAGAATAATTTATGAATAAAACATTTATATATGTGTATTTAGCTATTGAAAAGCAAATATTGCAAAATAATTATAATGAAAAAACACAAAATGAACTTAAAATTAATTTTTAAAATAAAAAAATTTAACTTATAAGCATGCGTACAAATATAGAGCAGATGTATATATCTCTACTATTATAAAAATTGAAGATGTTTTTACCGGTATTTTGGTACGTCATATGTATTTGGGTCGATTTTTAAGTTTGTTCGCTTTTGGAAATACAAAAGAAGTCGTATGAAAAATTTCTTTTAAAAAACTTGCATGCTTTGTTCGCTTTTGGAAATACAAATCCGTGTATGAGTCAGATTTTAAATTCGTTTGCTTTTGAAAATACAAAAGATGTTGTATAAGAATTTTTTAAAAAAAAAATCTTGCACGCTAACTTGAGATGAAAGTCAGGCTCCTAATTCTAGCTCATGATTTTCTAAAAGCGAATTCCCACAGTGAATTTCATCCTTGTTAAACCGTATAACAATAATAAGATTAAAATAACATTCACCCGTTGCAACGCACGAATAATTTTTGTAGGTACAAGTATAAAGCACGGGTGCAGCCAATGAGATCTAAACATGAACTGAAAGACGGTCCCAGCAAACTGGATAAAACAGAACACCACACGCTATCACAAATTATTGCTAGCTGATTGCAAGCTCGACAGCATAACAAAGATCTTCGATTATCTGGCAGATCGATTAGTTAACGTTGTTGATTACCTACCTTCTCTTAACCCTGACCATTAAGCCATTCTTCATGTGGAGAACCATGGACAGCTTGGGCTCCACGATATGTCCTGGCACGGCCTCGATCTCGAAGTTCTTCACCACAGTAGCCGCCACGACCTTGAGCTGCACTAACGCCATGTCCTTGCCTAGGCAGGTCCGAGGCCCCGTGATGAAGGGCGTGAACTTGTACGACGGCACGTACCGCAGCTTGCCGTCGTCGGAGATCCACCGCTCCGGCCTGAACTCCATGCAGTCGCTGCCCCACACGGACTCCGTCCTACCCATCGCATAGATGGACACCACGATCTTGTCACCAGGGCGCACCTTGTGCCCGCTCGGCATCACGTCGGCGGCAACCACGCCTTTGTGGTCCAGCGGAACAGGTGGGTAGAGCCTAAGCGACTCGCACACGGCGGCGTGCAGGTACACGAGTGACTTGAGCTCGTCCGGGTCGAAGGTCACCATGCCGTCCGGGGTGGTGGTGGCGCGCTCGACGGAGTCAAGCTCCTCTAGGATCTTGGACGCCACATGAGGGTTCTTGGTGAGGAGGTAGAAGAACCATGATAGTGCCGAGCCTATCGTGTCGCGGCCGGCAGCAATGAGGGTCATGGTCGTGTCACGGAGAAAGGTGTCCGCGTTCTCGTCGTCGTCCTTGAGGTAGGACGATAGCAGATCCTCCGAGTCCTCGATCCCTTCGTTTGCTTTCTTTGCCCGCCGCTTCACGATCGTCTCGTATATGAACTGATTAATGGTGCGCAATGCCTCTGCCATTTTCCGCTCAAATCCAACTCCTAGCCTTCGCGCCAACTTCCACAATGACAGCGGGATGATGTGACGGACAAGGAGCACACGCGTCGTGTAATCCACCGCGCGCACGAAAGGCACCTTGGGCATGGGCAAGCTGATCGCAAGGCACCCAGGGTCTTCGCCGGACGCCAGCATGGTCGACATGTCAAATGTCAGCCTCATGAACACGTCCTGCAGGTTGCATCTCTCCCCCGTTCCCGCGAAATGGGATAGCAGCGGAAGCAGCGCATTCTCCACTTTGTCACTGCTGCACCGGGACACGAAAGACTGGAATCGGTGGTTGTACATGAGAAGCTGGGTCTTGGCTCGCTGCCGGCGCCACGAGTCGCCGTCCACGTTGAAGATGCCATCACCTAAGGTGTCATCAAAGATCTCGGCGAAATCGGGTCCCTTGGGGTAATTTGCGAAGTTGGAGGTGAAGATGTGCCGGACATTGGCCGAGTCGCAGGTGAAGAAGAACCGCATGTTGGACGACATCGTTGGGCCGATAAACCGAAAATTGAGCTGGGAGGCGGTGAGAAACGAGGTGATCCAGTCATGGAGCTGGTGACGGTTGACGAGAAGATCAGGGAGCATGCCCACCAACGGCCAACACACTGGGATGGCAGGGTTCTTCCTCTTTGATTTGATGTGGTAGTAGTAGAAAACGCTAAAGCAGAGGAAACAGAGCGTGAGCTGGAGAATGGAAGAGAAAGCCATTGCTTTGACTGCTTGTACGGTTGCTCGTACGCGCGTAATGCAAAACAAAGGAGGCGTCACGGTGATCATGTGAATGCTTGCAGTACCACACGTGTATAAGGTGTATTAATATACCCGAGCGAGAGTAGTAAGATGAGGCGGCCAGGCGGGCGATGTTAGCAACAGTGCTTGTGATTTCACTGAAATTTTTCCAAGATTTTTGCATCATGAATGATATATTGGTATTGGAAAGATAAAATTACTTAATGTTAGCTACATGAACCAGCTAGCTGCCATCGATCGATGGGAATCAACTCCTCTGCTCCGCACAGCGTGCCATCTTGTGTCTCGTTGGCGCCTGCTGCTCTTGGTATCACCGCGGGAAGCGGATACTAAATTATCCCCATTCTGGCTTTGTTCTACCTGCCTTACTTCTCTAAGCAAGGTTACAGACTTACAGTGTCGTCATGACATACCTCAATTTCCGTAATGCCCTGATATTTCCTTCAGCGCTAAAAATATGTACCAATGTATCAAAATTTAACTTCAAAACTATCTACTCTCTCCGTCCATAAATATAGGAGATTTTGGTTGGATGTGGCACATCCTATTACAACAAATCTAGACATGAAGCTGTAAGATCAACGTGTGTTTTGATTCTTATTCTGTGATGAACAATTGGCATCTGTGATTATTGGTTTTGATATTTGGAATTTATTCACAAAGTGGTTTTGGATTTACTGATATTTTATGTGACCGGTCAGACCGGGCGGAGGTTGCCGGTCAGACCGGCTTGTGTTGAGCGGTCAGACCGGCCGGCCCGCGGTCTGACCGGCCGACGCTGTGTCGGTTTCAGTTTCGGGTTGTTTCTTTGGATATCCGTGATTGTTTCATCGTTATGGCTTCTAGATGGATACTATACGTATGTAATACTGTTGTTTGCTAATAATGAGTCAAGTTGGGGATAGCTTGGTCTCGGAATATGGTTTCTTTGTTTGTTTCATGTGTAGGTGACTCGATGCCTCGGGAGAGTATTTGCGGTGATGGACCGGGAGTCGGCTTGGTGGTAAGACGATGTCCGTGGTGGTCAGATATCATGTGGGATACTAAGGCTAGAGTTGATGCACGTGGTTGGTGAAGATTCCATATGGCATACGATGGAGGTATTGTGTGCGTATGGGATGTGGAGTCGAATTTGGAAGGAGTCCAAATTTGGTACGATTGGTGTTTCACCGGGTTTCGGCGGTCTAACCGGCATCTCACCGGCGGTCAGACCGGCGGCGTAGGCAGGCAGCGGCAGGCGATTTCGTCGGTTCGACCGATCGATCTACATCGGTCAGACCAACATTCATCAGGCGGTCAGACCGGTGCGTTCACTTCGGTCAGACCGCGATCCATCGAATTTGAGGGTAACTTTTATTTCCGCTAAAAGTTTTGGTTTTTGGGTATATCAACCATTTACCCCCCCTCTGGTTGGCTTAGTTCTTATGATTCGATCCTACAGAAGTATGTCCAGATTCGTTGTATTAGGATACGTCGCATCTAACCAAAATCTCTTATATTTAGAGACGGATGGAATATCTTTCAAGTATGGAAAAAAAAAACCAAATTACCTCCTAAACTATTGCAACAGTCTAAATTACCTCCGTCGAATTACAAAACAGACATTTTAAACTCTAAACTCTTCGACCGAAACAAATTACCTCTCTAACTCGATCCATATCGGTTTTGATATTACATAACACACATGTGACAACAATTTTGTTGGCGTGGCAGTCCTAACTCAATCTCAATTTGGTTGGTCTTAATATATACCTATTTTCTAGTTAATCATAGTAATAAATGGGTATAAAAGGACTAACACAAATATATGCCCTAAACATACTAATTTATTGTATAGATGCTATTAGTGTTAAAAAAGGCATACCGAATAGTCTTGGGTTAGATTTGGTGGGACCCACCATATATATACCAAGTTTTTTACGGAATCATGCCTCACATGTGGAAAGTGTTCCAGATAAGGAAGGAGAAGCAATGTTCTACTTGGCACAACAAGAACTACTCAGATCATATCCATACTTGGTTCCCTAATCTTACTTGGACAAGGGGGACACCCGAGTGTATAAACACAAGATCTGAGAAGAGGAGGACACGTCTAGACGGATTTAGACAATCCAAGACAAGACAACATACACCGAAACAAGTCTAGATAAACCCAATCTGAAGCTACAAAGGACGACACTAGGAATCTAGAGCTACCTTCAATCTTGTCGAGTTCATATTAAAAAAAAAACTACACTAGTCGACTAGAGCTCCATGCCACCAAGCTGACAAAGACTATATTAGGTTGTCTCACATATTGTAATCGAGTAATACTAATACATAAAGTCAATATTGGTTTTGGTCAACAGGAGTATGGCTATTACCTATCAGTTAAGAGGCCTGAACCTATATAAAATTTCTTATCTCATATCTTTTTATCTCAATCTCTCGTATAATCTAGTTCCATCGATCCTCATATTATACAAATATCGTAGTCAGAATATAGCTAGGCCCTCAGATATCCATCGCACATATCTAAATTCGTTGTAGTCGCTCTCTTGCATGGACTCCATTCTCCCCATCGTATAGATAACGGTGTACACAAGTTAGAATTTAATTTGTAATTTTCTACAACTTATAAAATTTGGATTAAAACTTATATATTTGTGAAGTGATATATCTTCATCTCTACTATTATAACAATTGAAGATGCTTTTGCCGGTACTTTGGTACGCCATCCGTGTATGAGTCGGTTTTAAGTTCGTTCACTTTTGGAAATACATATCCGTATTTGAATCGAGTTTTAAGTTCATTCGCTTTTGGTAACACATAAGGAATCGTATAAGAAATCTCTTTAAAAAACTTGCATGCTAACTTGAGGTGATCGAACTCATTGGACTCCTAACTGCAGCTCATGATTTTCTAAATATATATCTAAACAAATACCCACAGTGAATTTCACCTTAACTAAACCATATCTCTTCTCTACTACTTAAAAAATAAGAGATGCTTCCATCATCCGTCAAAAAAAACCGCCAAAAAACCGGGCGAAAGAGAAAAAAACTGGACAAAAAAACCATGATTGTCCGATTAAAAAAAGGGCGAAAAAAAATAATCCGATCCCCTGGAAAAAAGGGCGACAAAAAACCGGCTAAAAAAACCAGACAAGCGAGAAAAAAAAACCGTAACTGTCCGATAAAAAAAAGGGGCAAAAAAAATAATCCGATTCAGTGCCAAAAAAAGGGCGAAAAAAATCTCCGTTAAAACAAAAAAATAGCGAAAAAAATAAAAAAAGTCCGACTCCTATCTGATTCCCTCTCAGAAATGAAAAAAAGTCCGACTATAGATCCGATTCCCCCGAAAAATAAAAGGTGCCACTCCTTTTGAGTCCGAATACCAGCCACCGCTCCTCGGTTTTAATCTATACCGTGATATCTCTCACATCTTGGTGAAACAAAATGATGTGCCGGATTGAAGATCTGTTTACAAAAACGGAACCTACAGGTCGAGAGCATTTCATTTTTATATTATTTTAATTTTTAGGTTTGTACTTTTGCATTTGAGTCCCTGTAATTTTTATATTTACATTTGAGTCCCTATAATCTTACAATAAGGTACTTAATGTCATTTTTGATAAAAATAATAATAAAAGAGAGAACAAAAGCATAAATGTGCATAAAAAAACAACAACAACAAAAGTTCTGTTTCCCCTAAGTCCTGTAGTGGAAAAAAGCAAAAAAAAGAACATTTGAAGAAAAAACAAGCAAAAAACGCGTGAGAAAATAATTGTAAAAAAAGGCAGAAAACACATGAGAAAAGAAAAGCAAAAAAGGGAGAAAATATGGTTTTCGTTGTAAGTAAAAAAGCAAAAAAAAATGCTAAAAAAAACTTTTAGAAAGAAATGTGTCATTTCTGAATGAATGGTTTGAGAAAATCGCGCAAGAAAAAAACACCGTTTATTAAAAAAACAAGCCGCTCATTAAAATACAAACATTGTTATTGACATGATTATTCATGAAAAACGATTATCATTAGAATTTTTTCACCCGTTGCAACGCACGGGCATTTTTGCTAGTAACAATAAAAAGATTAAAATAGCCTTCACCGTTGCAACGCAAGGATATTTTTTCTAGTCTCTATCTCTACTATTATAAAAATTGAAGATATTTTTGCCGGTATTTTGGTACGTCATCCGTGTATGAGTCGGTTTTTAAGTTCGTTTGCTTTTGGAAATATATATCCGTATTTGAGTCGGTTTTTAAGATCGTTCACTTTTGGTAATACAGAAGGAATTATATAAGAAATCAGTTTAAAAAAACTCACGTGTTAGTTTGAGATGATCGGATTCCTAACTGCAGCTCATGATTTTCTAAAAAAATTATATATCCAAACGAACTCTCACAGTGAATTTCATCTTAACTAAACCATATAATAATATTATTATTAAAATAGACTTCACCCATTGCAACGCATGGGCATTTGTTCTAGTGTATATATATATATATATATATATATATATATATATATATATATATATAACTATCTTGTTAATAATTTTCTAAAAGAAATATTATTGGAGTATTACAATCCATCTCCAGCGTGTCTACGGCTCTACGCCCTGACTCCACTAGACCAGGTCCAGGCGAGGCAGGCCCGCGCGGGGAGAGGTAGCGGTAGCGCCGTAGCGGGCTGGGTGAATCTCCCGTCCCGTCGCGCCATCGGAACATGTCTGCCGGACCGGCGCCAGCCAAAGCGCGCGGCGATTTCCGTGGCCCCCGCCCCCCGCCCGTGCGGCCCCGCGACGAACCGACACGGCCTCCAAGTCCCCGCCCGTAGCCCGCTAGTACAGTAGTGTACCCGCGCGCGGAACTGAATCAATCACACGGCCGTTTCGGCGTTTCTCGGGGCGAAAAGGCGGCGGAGACGCGCGCGCGCGCGAGACGACGACGGAATCGCCGGGTCGCGCCGTTGTACCACTAAAGCGGGGACACCCGAAGCGCGGCCCAGATCGGCTTCGCCGCCCGCCGCTTTTTTCCTTATCCCCCACTTGCATGGCAAGTCGATCGACCCATCTGCTGCATGCGATGTAAGTTGCGTGAGGACGCCTTGCCCCTCGCGCTACCCGTGCCGGAACATACAACAAACAAGCACCATATACTACGTACGAGGTGGATTCGGCCTATGCTAGTAGCCGCAGATAGATAGAGATAGAGTAGATTAGAGAGATTCTTTGCAGCAGCAGCAGCAGCAGCGAGGCGTGGTGCCCTAAACCCTTTGGGACCTGGCTTGGGCTTTTTGGGACTGATGGGCATTAGTTCCATTTCGGTGAGTGGGTCTGCACTTGTGCGTTAAGCTTCACAGTTCACACAGCCTGACCCTCTCGGCTCTCGCCTTTGTTCCTGTATTTCTCTAACCTATCTCATAGCCAGAGCCGGCCCGGACACCTTTGTTCCTGTATTACTCTAACCTGTCAGAGCTGGACGGGAGGGGCCTCTCCTGTCGCTGGTACACTCCTCGAGTCTTGACTTGTATGCTAGCTAGCTTTTGACACTGCATGATTGGAGATCGCGTGATAGATCGATTGCCTTTCTCAGCGAGCGGCACCCGTAACGTTCTTCGCCGTCTGCCAATCGCTACCACTCGATCGATCGCTAGTGGCCACATTATTCCTGGAGGTGGAATTAAGCTAGATATAGCTAGGTTTTTTGTTTGAATGTTGACTACGGAAAAGAAGAAAGATACGTTGTACTCCTACGTACCTACACTGTCGTGCTTGGACTACTCCAGCTTAATTGTCGTTTCCTCGCCGGGGTACACGTTATTTGGGATCGAATTAGGACGTACTACTACATGCACTTGTCTTTTTTCTTCTCAATACATCAGTGCATCTTTGCTACAAGTAGAAGTAGAACTGACCGATCAATCAGCGAACTAATTAAGCGTGGCGAACACACGCAAAAACATCGCGTCGATCGATCGAATCGAACCATGTGCTGTGTCAACAGCTGTCGACTGACAGGAGAAAAAATTAGAGAACGAGAGCGTAAAAACTGTGATGTTTTTGCACGTATATGCACACATTGTACGTAGTACTACTACATGTATTATTGAGACGAGTCTATATGTTTTGGCGACGCAAATCTTCCGTACGTCCCGTCGAGAGATCAGAATCTGTCACGCAAGTTTTGGATGCCCCGGCGCCGATATCTCTGGACGATACGCTGCGTGAATCGCCGTGCCGGGTAGTAGTAGTAGATTGACTGCAAAGCATGTTACTCACCACCGTACGATGCTCTGGGTTACGGTCACTTTTTATCAGTAGCAGCATGCAGCAGCATTGGTGCTCATCCTTAAAACTGAAGATTTGTCTGTCGAGCCTCTAGGCACTGGGTAGCTAGTACTAGGAGTAGCAAAAACACAGCCTGACACATGAGGTGACGCCAAAGCAGCCCGACCAGATTCCGCTCGCAGATAGCTGCATTGTCGCGCGTTTACTGTGTTTGCTAAACACAAGCTACAGTCCAACACGCAGTTAATTAGCAGCTGGCCGCCTTTCTTCCCCATTTCCATGCATCAGCCATAATCACAACAGTAATCAACTGAAGAAACAGCACCTAGCTTGCCTACCATAACTGAAACTAGCAGTAAGCATCTGAATCAAATCAACACAGGTGGCCTTGTTTAGGTTTAGTTCCCTGCTGAGCTGTTTGGGTTTGTTCATCGCACCGGAACGGCACCAAAGATAGCAAAGGGTGACCATGCTGTCCCTCGCTAAGGTTCTCTCACCCACCTATAAATAACCGGCTTCTGCACTCGCCATGGTTCGGCGACGAAATCCTTTAATTTGACGCTTCTTCTTCCTCGCGGTAGCTTGCGAAGCCGCTATATATACAACTCGCTTTAAATTCTAGCCTCAATTCGCCACCATCTCCTAGCTAGATTTCTATTGATACACGATATCTCACGCCCATACTACGTAACCTACATCAACATACATATATATACCTGAGGATTTGGGTGTTTTGTGCGATGATGTTCGAGGCGGACATGGCCATTAGAGAGATGATGATGTTCGAGGCGCATACGAACAGCGGACCGATGTTTTCAGACCAGCTATGCATTGTAATTTCTTCACCCTTGCTACCTGCACTTCTTTTATTTGTAGAGATTGTTATCTTGATCATTTCTGTTCTTTGTTAATTTTTATGGCCCCTGGTTATTAGCCTTATTATTTTGCTTCCTTCATCACTAGTTGCATAGTTGTGCAAATAACTCCTAGTAAGAAAAATACAAACTATAATTGATTAATGATTACTATATCATGCAATGCTTGCCCCTTATATTATTCTAGTTAAAAATCTATTTATGCTTCCTTGAGTTACCATGTTCTTTTGCATAACATTTTGCATGGATCAACTTTATTTTGTTTCTGATTAGCAAATCTGAATGGAAGTCCTTGTTAGGCACAGCGACTATTGTCATCAGCGCAAGAACTTCAATATTGTGCTCCCCTACTTAGTTTGAATATAGTGACGCATAATATTTGCCATTCGGCTGAACGCCTGAACCTTAGTAAGGATAGAAATGATGTCCATATATTGCAGATCCGGGTTTTTAGCCTTAGGGGACATGTGTCCCAACAGGAGCTTATCAAATGCTCTGCAAATAGTTCTGGGAAACATTAGCTCCATTAATACAGCAGGCACTCACACCTTGGTGCAAAATCTCATCCCTAAACCAACTCTATATATCAATAAGAAGAGCTTCAGTTTTATTTACGCCTAATTCGATTTTTTTTATCCATATATAGATTATTTTGACTTGAAATTGTGAAATTACTCTCTACATCATCAAAAAAATCAAGTTATTTTGTTAACTATTTGATTGGTGTTGACAGGTAGGGGCACCTTTTTTAATGATTTAATACCGGCAACATCATACCCTATTTTATAAAATCTTTGTTTATGCATACCAGCTAAATTAAGGAGTTGATTTTTTTTTCTCAAATGAGCAGAAGAGCTGCGCATCATCATATTAAGGAAAAGAGATAGCAAGTAAAAGGTCAACATTTTACAAAGATATGTATTCAAATACCGTATATCATAACTTCATAAGAGAACAGATTAATAGAATCAATACAAGGCCATTTATCATGATAGACACCCAGGAAAAAAACTCGGAGAAAACATAGTGGAAGGAAGCTTCCTTATATCTGACATATGTTCAAATGACGCATTATAGCGCACAAAAATAGCACCCCGAGCAAAAAATAGCATCCCGGCATGCTCGATCACATGCTTAATTCTTAGCTTTGTCCTAGTTTCTATCCTCGTTCCTCTCCTGAGCGCGAGTGTAGCACACAATTTCGGACCGTCTTGGACGCCATCTTTACTGCCCCCAGGCATAACGGTTTGTCTTCTCAAGGATAAATAGGACGAATACACTGATATTCGGTTTTGGGTCCAAAAGAGCTCCACCGCAATGCAACCAATCCCTTGTCTCTCCGTCGAGGATCAGTAATGCTTCACGACGATTGCATCGGTGTAATTGTTTCGTCAACACAGATCTTTGCTCAGTTTTTCTTGATGTTTCTGAGCCTCTTCTATGTTATCGTCTTAAATTTTTCATGTATCTTGTTTGTGCGTATGCTCATTGGATTGTAACTGAGATGACGACATGCTGCTCCCCAGGCCAATCAGTACATACCTGCATACATGATACAATAGTTATTATGAAGTCTATAGTGAAAAAGGAACGCACGATGTAGAAATTTTATTCAAAAGCATCAGATCAACATGAAACCTTTCGGATTTGGGTCCGTGGCAGCAGTACCAGAGATCTTTTTTTTTCTATGACATCCTGTGAGCTGCAATAGTCATACATGTGCAAATTTATTGGAATGGTCTGTTGTTCCTATAATTCTTTCTTATAATAAAAAATTTCAGGTAATAAAAGGTACTTACAGGTTCATTCCCATTTAATTTTACAGGAGGGACTCTCAAGCCCCATAGCTGCTCAAATTCTTGATTTCTGCGATGACGGCCTAGGTGATGATCTCTTCGCTGCAGTGGCCACTACCTCCGAGCAATTTGCAGCCTCTTCCGAGGATGGTTCATCGTCGTCCACAGCCACACCTCCCCTCTGCAGCAACAGCAATGACATCACAGCTGTTGCAGACACAGCTTTCTCCCCATTACTCTCCTTCGACTCCACCCTCTCAGCCTTCCTTGAGCAAGAGCAAAACCCTGACCAGGACACCAAGCTACTTCCCTCCATTGATGAAACCTTTACTGCACCAGCATACTATCCAGCTGCCACCGAGGCCAACATAGAACAATTCAGCCAAATAATGGTTCCAGAGCATACAGATGCACCAATGCCCCCAATGCAAACAAACAGGACTGCCAATGCCTTGCTGCCTCTAGCTTCAGGGTATGACGACGAGTGTTTCACAGCAGCACTAGCTGGAGGGTACATGGGTCTGGATGGAACTCTGTATGACCAAACAGGAGTAATGATTCCAAATTGCAATGTGGAGACACCACAAGTAGGATTTTTCAACCATAATAGTACTAGTAACAATGGTATGGTGATGGATTTGAATAATTTTGGAGAGTACCAGAGGATGATGGAAGGTGAAGGACTGACCAGAACATATAGCGACACAGATTCGATGCATGGGGCGTTTAATAACGCTGCAGAGATGCAGGTAATATTCACATCCTATTTTTTTGAAATAAAAAGTGTTATACATGCCCAACTATTATGTAACACACTGAACTTTATACTTCTTGCTACTATAGTAAGAAAATAGGTGCATGAAGTTCTCATGAATAAAAGAGCAAAGCTCCAGAAATTAGCGGACAGATAATAATTTGTGAAATACCATCAGTATCTAACCCAATTATTTTACCTGAACAGATGGGAGAAAACACCCAGCACATGGTAACTGGATGCAATGATAGCCCACTAACGTTGCCTTCAACAGAAGGCTCAAGCTTGGAAGATACCCCCTACAAAGGTGTGCGTCTAACAGCTGAACAGAGAAAGGAAAAGATCTCCAGGTACATAAAGAAAAGGAACGAAAGGAACTTCAGCAAAAAAATAAAGGTAATATTGAACATTTCAAGAACATAACTACATGCATCATCTTACCAAATTTATTGTACTGATGTAAAACAAAATGCAGTACGCTTGTAGAAAAACCTTGGCGGATAGCAGGCCTCGGGTCCGCGGAAGGTTTGCCAAGAACGACGAACTCTGTGAAGCTACCAGATCAAGCTCCCAAGATTTTGAACAATATGAACATGTTGTAAGTGTTCTAACTATCTTATCAGAAAATAGACCAAATTTAGCTGAAAATATCACAAATAAATATGCAAGGGCAAGATTACCTCATTAGCCTTAGAGACAATTCATCAAGATGGTTATTCAATCATCTCATCATTTTTCTCCATTGCAGTCATAGATTAAAGATTTAAATTCGTATCATTTTTTTATAAAATAGCTAAATACCAAGTTCAATCATTTTGTTTTTTCAGGTGGGAATGAAGGGAGAAGACATGCTTGATTCTTCCAATATTTTGGCACATTTGAGTGGAATGAACCCTTACGGCTATAAGTACAACAGCACTGTGGAATCCTGGATATAATTCTCATAAACACACAAATTAAAGTGTGTTTTCCTTTCAATTGTGCAAGCATTAAACACAGTTTTCCCTTGCTCCCAGTAAATAAGACTGATGCTTTAGAAGCTCTATTCGCAAGAGAAGTGCTTAGGTCAAGTTATTGTTTCTGCACACTACTGATTTGTAAATAGAATTGTTTCCTTGTCATAATAGAGATAACAAGTTTCAAGATTTGTCTCGCAATTTTTCGATGTTACAAATTCAGACATGGTCCACTAGAAGTATTCATGGGAAAGTAACACAAAACACAATGGTCACAAACCAGTAATATCAGCATAATCTCATAGCACGATTAAACCCAGCTAATTCTTATCATCCTTGTGGGAAGAAGACCCACAAATCCGAAGCCAGCAGAAGAATGAGTAATTGGAAAGTGGATTGCAGTTCATAACATCTGCCGTTTCTACTCAAGTTCATAAACATCTGTCGTTTCTACTTACACAGTATGAGTGTACCCATATTGAAGAGAAAAGGAGCAGAACTTGAGCTGGGCACTATTGTAGTGATACAAGCGCACGACCATACGGGGATAGAGAAAAAAAAACTACACCATAAGTACGCTATCTAATTAATGACAGCACTACTCGATTTAACAAAGATAACTGGTCCAACGTCAATTTCAACACTAGGAAGAAATAATCTGAATAATAAAAGAAACAGGTATTGAGAACATTTTGGCCTCTATCCAAGTAATACAGGGCATATTCTACAAGCATAAAATGAAAAACAATACTTTCAAAATGTTTATGCATGGAATCGTGGATGAAGATCAAAAACAAAAATCAGTGACACTTGAGTTACAAAACTCAAATGCCGAAAAATGCGCATTATTCTATTCCAGACTGATAATTCAACCTTTTACAGGACAGATTTAGTAATGTTAAATACTTGTAAATACTGGCCACTAAAAAGGTAGACATCTTGTTTAATTAATTCTTGCTTCCATTTTAGTTATCAAAGCATAAACTAGAAATAGAAATACACCGTTGCTTTAAGGTGGAAATCTATCTATCTATCTATTATATTATTAAGACAGCCTTGAAAGGAAACACCACGTTCGCTGTGGGGGCTAGAAATTCCCACATTAATCGAAGAAAAAAAATAGAATTCAAATAGGATTATAATGACTCGGCATCCTCCTACAATTTGGAAAGTTCAGAGAGAGATTTATGAATCGTACACATTGCAATTTTTGAATCGGACATTGTATCTGCTGCATGCCATCCTGACACCGTGACATTGGAATCAAAAGTAGACACTAAAAAAAGTAGAAAGCAATATACATTCCTAACCGGATTCAATATGCAAGAGAGAATGCTAAACGTATTAGTAGCATTTTTATTTAGCCCAACGCTGATGGGATGTATAGATATCTGTATGTACTTAAAAATAGCTTATAGCTTTGGCACATATTAAAAAAAGAAAAAAATAGTTTTTGTTCCGTTGCGCACTAGATTATCATACGACAATTATAAGAAGTAACTGGGAGTTGAGACTGATTGGTGATCATCTTTATGTACTAAAGATTGTATGACGATGTTTAGAATTAAACGTGGCAAACAACCATCGTTGGCTCAGCTGAGCAGCGTATAGTTGGATGGAATCCGGATCAGCTGTAGACACAATACTATATGCAACTTTGGCCCTGTTTAATTCCCACTTAAAAACTTTTCACCCTATCACATCGAATGTTTGGACACATGCATTGAGTATTAAATATAGATAAAAAAACTAATTACTATCATAGGTATACATAATGAAATATCCGACGCCTCGAGAGAATAATATTGGAGACAATGCTGGGCCTTTAGCCTGCCAGTCAACTTCAGCCTGAGATGTGCCCATCAAACCACTCGAAGGAGGCGACCAGATGTGTTACACATTCAGGAGACTTGACAAAATGGCTAAAGATCTACAACATCTCAAACTTAACTCATGCTCATGTGAATCTAGAAACATGAGCCGTGGCAACACATATATCACCTGAACAATCTATCTATCTATTATATTATTAAAACAGCTTTGAAAGGAGGTACCACATTCGCTGTGGGAGCTAGAAATTCCCACATTAATCGAAGAAAAATAAAAAAAAAGAAAAGGTGACTCCAAGTAGAAATACAATTTAAAAATAGCTGAAATTCGGAATTAAAAATAAGCAATATTGAAAGAAGTTTCCATATAAGAACCCAATACGAGATTAATCAATATTTGAAATATAAATAAAATAAAATCCAAAATTAGAAAAGAAAAGGATTGTCCAAGTAGGAATACAATTTTAAAATAGCTGAAATTCGGAATTAAAAATAAGAAATATTAAAAGAAGAGTCTATATAAGAACCCTCTACGAGATTAATTAAAATTGAGAATAAAAATAAAAATAAAATCCGAAATTAGCAAAAAAGAAAGAAGAGTTCAAGTAAGAAAACAATTTAGAATTAGCTAAAATTCAGAATTAAAAATAAGCAATATTGAAAGAAGAATCCATATAAGAACCCAATACGAGATTAATTAAAATTCAAAATAAAAAAAATAAAACAATATCCAAAATTATAAAAAAAAGAGAGTTCAAGTAGAAATACAATTTTGAAACAACTGAATTTGAAAATAAAAAATAAAAATATTAAAAGAATACAATACGATATTAATTAAAATTTGACAAAAAATCAATTTTTTTAGGGACTTCTAGAAATTATAAAAAGAAGCCCAACAAGACAATAAACTTAAACTATAAGTTTTTAGATCCAATTTTTAAAGGTTCCAAGGAGAATGAATAGAAACAATGGTAGATCCAGCAAGCTAATAACGAATAATATGACAGAAGTAAGGGGTAGCAACTGGTGTGACTTTTAAAAACTATAAAATTAGAAACATGACTATGATAAGGTTTGGTCTTTAAATCTTAAGACAACGAGATAACTATCTAATAAATTTTAAGTAAGATCATATTAAAAAATATATAATTTTATATGTGTGCTAGCCGCGCAATTGCGCGGGACACCCAGCTATAATTATAATTATAATTATGTTCGATTTTTAAAATCTCAATGACAATAAAGAGAAGAGCCAGTGGATGGGTCGTAGAGGAGTATAATGGCAACGTTTGATGGGACGTCTAGAAATTATAAAAACAAAACCCAACGTGACAATAAACTCTAAAAACTATAAGATCCAATTTTTAAAGGTTCTAAGGAGAATGAATTGAAATAGTGGTAGATCGAGCAAGCAAATAAAGAAGGAGATGACATAACGGGTAGCAATTGGTATGACTTTTAAAAAACTATATAATTAGAAACAAACTCTTAAGACAATGAGATAGCTATTTAATAAATTTTAAGTAAAATCATACTAAAAAATATATGATTTTGTTTGGGTGCTAGCCGCGCAATTGCGCGGGCCACCTAGCTAGTTTATATCTAAAGATAAACCATGTTTCTTTCTGAAGGTACCTAAAGATACCCAAAGCAAGGTGAAACGATGCTCCAAAATGTCAGGTGTTTGAAGCTAGTGCCACGAGCATGCCACAGTGCTCCGTTTTGGCAGAATTACCATGTGTCGAAATCCAAACTACAGCTTACTCCAACCCCGCTTGGAACTCCTAAAGACTTGTTCGGCTAATCCCTTCCCATGGGGATTGGGAGGGATTTCGGGGGAATAATTTGGCCCAATCCCCATGTGGAAGGGATTAGCCAAACAAGCCTAAGGGCTGGGGGTTCAAACCTCATAGAAAATCTAGAGAACAGCTGTGAGCATTACCAAAAAATTTCACACTAAGATATAGTCTTTGTTTTCAGAAAAAGTCAGTAAACATTCATCGATTCATAATGCATAATGATGTAGTAGCCCATACAGTTGAACTGAGGTACCGTTGCACAGTTTCATTAGCCAAACTTAACTAACAAACGAAAAAAAGGAAGCAAACATTCAATCAAAATTCAAAGCCATCTCTACATGACAATATCTGATATATGCAATTGTACAACAGTTTTGTGCCAAGTGCTAACTCACTAATAATTTGTTGCCTCAGGCACAGGTACCGCGAGGCAGAGTAAATCAGAGCCCTCTTGCTCCTCCATCTGCTTCTCATCTCCATCCATCGCAGCTATTCCAAGTCCATGATCAAAGAGCACAACTTGGGCTTCAGATTTGCTGTACCGAACAAGGAGTAAACCGCTCGGGCGGGTAGAGCAGAGAAATCGCACGGAGCGCCCACGCCGGCCGCCCCAGCATCGGCCGCCGACCCATACGGCGACCTCGGAGGCGATGACGGCGACCTTGACGACCACCCCGAGCGCGTCGACACCATTCCTGATGCCCTTGTGCACCTGGAGGCCGAGGAAACCCTCGATGACCTTGGCCGAGTTCTTGGAGAGCTTGTACCCAGACTTGAGTATCGCGAGGGCCGCGACGCCGGTGGGGGACGCGACGGGGGGCGGCGCGGCGGCGGCGAGGCGGAGGAGCGAGGCGGCGGCGAAGGCGGCCTTGAGGCGCTTGTCGGAGGGGAGGGAAGGGAGGCGCGCGGCGGGGCCGAGCGTGCGCGCGGCCTTGTAGGACTTGGAGGCGGCCTTGGACGCCGCGAGGACCGCGGCGAGCGGGGACGAGGCGGCGGCCAGCACGCGCGGGGTCTTGAGCGCGGCCGCCGCGGCGGACGTGGCGGCGGCCAGCGGCTTGAGCGCGCGCGAGCGGGAGAGGACGAGGAGCAGCCGCACCCCCACCGCTACCCCGAGCGCGGAGGTTGCGGCGGCGGCGAGCGCGTGCGGCGGCGGCGCCATCGCGGCGAGCCACAGGCCATAGGAAGAGGCAGGTGTCCAGGGCGAAAGGCCACGAAAATGCCTATGAAAAAAAAAAGAAAAAAAAAACGTAGCGAAGCCGAGACGAGAGAGACGAAGTGGATGGCGAGGCGCGTGACGTGGCGGCCGCCGGCATCGCGCGTTGAGATTTTTCTCGTGTTGACCCGCACAGCGACCGGGCCGGGAGCGACGCATATGCCGCGTGCCGCGTCCGCATATGCCGGCCCAGGCCCACTTCAGCGTGGGCAGTTGGGCCGCTTCACCGCGAATCCACGCGGACGTCGCCGCGGCGAGGCGATCGATCGATCAATCGGCGAAGACGACGACGACGACTGCTCGCGAGTACGGGAGCCACTGAATCTGTCGTCGCTTCAGGACACGCGGAGTTGGTGCGGAGTCAGCAGCATTCAGCAGCAACACACCTCTGTTCCATTCCATCGCTGCAAGCCTGCATACACTCGGGTCCTCTACAGTAATGAACTGAATCACTGGTTGATGCTAAAAGCATACAGTAATGATTACAGTATGCATTCTTCCCAGTCTCAACATCACCAACATACGATTGAAGATACGATGCACACCACAAATGAGTACTAAGTATTGAGAATTCTTCTCTCTTGTACGACACGTACCTATATCCTTCGAGCTCGATTCGGCAGTACAAGTACCACATCTCGTTGCTTCATGATTGAGAAACTGGGAAAATATGCATTACAGGTCATTGGGCACCGGTTGCGTGACGCAGCCGGACAAGACACCAGGCACACCGGCAGATACAGCATTTCTTTCTGAATACCTAACGCCATACGCTACGCACGTTCACGTTAGGCACTAGTGCTCGCAACACATAATAGCACATGCAAATCTGAGCATAAAAACCGGCAGAGACTGACTTTGCAGCAGTTTGTATGGCCGGACAATTGATTGGTTTTCTTCAGAGGATGTACTCTCACGTAGTACGTGACTGATCCTGGATACATGATGGTGAATTGGTGATCACTGGTCAGGTACCAAGATGCTTGACCTGAATACCTGATGAAAGCTGTAGACTTTCTGAAAAAGTCTGAACTTTGAACCAGATGCTGCGAGTACCGTGGTTGAGATGCTTATCTTGGTAGTACCTGTACTTATTGCTGGCACGCAGCTAGCTGGTCAACACGCACGTAACAAAGCACTTCTCCCGGTACACTTGTCTTTGACGAACTTGTAAGCAATTGAAGAACCCTCAAACCAACTTAATCAATCGCCGCTCTTATTATATAAACTCTGGCATTGGAACATCAACTACTACATGTGTGGTTCTTCGTATCTTATTGCGAGTTTTCGGCCACTTTCCAAGGAGTATGTTAAGGCCAGAAATGAAAGTGATGATAAATACGTTTTGTCAGAGAGCAGAATTTTTTTTTTTTTGGGGGGGGGGGGTACGTGTGTGAGGAAATAATACGAAAATCTGTTTTCTCATCCAAATGCTGCAGGTTAATCTTGCAACTAGACTCATACAATCCTATGTCAGAATATTAGAGTTCTACAACATCAACATGTATAATTCTATTTCTACTATCCCTTGTCAGAGTATTAGACAATTCTCACATCAAATTGAGGTTGTTTCGGTCTGTTCTTGCTCTGTCCAGATAATTATATCGTCAGAGTATTAATGCAATTCATTTTTGCCGGAAATCATGGAACAGTGCACTGGTATTGACTGCGATGTTGGACCAATCCTTTTTCCAGTTGTTTGGTTCTTCTATTTTTCGTCTGCCCAGAGGCGAGCTCCTGCAAAATGGGCTAATTATCCATGGAAAAATGATGAAATGATATGTCGGCGAAACTATGACACTCATGTCATATTCTTTTCATTTGGCCACCAACCTTTGGTTTGAAATAGTACATACTTACGTAGAAATATCATCACTGCATAACCAATAATTCCTCCTTCTCTTGCATCACTCCAGCAACAAGAAAGAAAACGAAAGGAACACAAAAATGCCGCCAAGACAAGAAAGGAACAAGTTTCCCCTATTCAAGAGAGATGAAAGAAGAAATGATTAGTTTCTTACCTAACACAAACTGCTATAATTTAGTACTACTTGATTAAATAGTAGTCTTCAGGTGTAGTGTAGGACCTAGAAACGGATAAGTTTAGGCGATCTGCTGAAGCCTGAAGGTAACACACCATCTACCAGAGCAGATTGGATCATTGGGATGAGTGGCAACGTCAGAATTACCATCAAATCCTCTGCATTTGATGGTAAATAAATCCTTCGTCGGCACGTCGGTAATGGTTGTCACCGTCGCTGTTGCTTTGATCCACTTCAGAATGTGAGTTGAGATCTTCCACTTACAGGCGCCAGAAGCCACTCAAGGTGGCCGCCATTGCTCATTGCCAGCGCAATGGAGATCGTGATTATCTTTGGAGTAGTAAAATTGGAGCTGGCTAGGTTACCTGTCTCTTTGCTAAGACGTCCCTGTCTACCACAGCAGGAACGCACTGTCCTTCGTCATGCCTTGCAGTGAACGTTGGGGAAATGGGGAGCCAACTCCTCACGTTGATTCATAGTGAAATTTTGAATCTTTCCATGTCGAGATTGCATTAGCACCTCCTGTTTGAAAGGGAAATGCAGTATGCAGATGCACTGTGACGAAGACAAAAGATGGGCAAAATCACCATGGATTGTCTGGGCTGTCTTCTCCTCCTAACATCACAATTCACCTCGCCCCACTTTGGAATTTTGGATTGGTGGTAGGCACCTTATGCAATTGTTCTTTTTTTTCTTGTTAAGAGTATTAAAGAATCATATCCACCCGACCAAAATTTCAAAGTGAAACCCATCATCAACAGTGTTTTCCCCAGAAAAAAACTGAAGAAATGAGAGATTGCACATGGTCATGCTAGTACCTCTACCGCGCCACTTGCAAGCAACAGTCTCAAATCTGAACAGCCAAAGTGCCACAAGTCATCAACCAGACAGGGCTAGTTCAAAATCGTTGACAGTTTCCCGCTGAACCGTTCACCTGTCCAACGGACTCTCTTGGCTCCTGCCCAACATTTCTTCAGGTTCACCCAAAAAAAACCCTGCTGCTGAATTTTTTTTTAAAGAACTACTCTCCGTGCATAATTTTTACCGATCACAAGGGGATAGAAGAATATTAGGGACAGATTCTGCGAGATAATCCAAGGTGTGAGACTTTTTACTCTGGATTCTCCTCCCTGGGCGTGTCGCCGTGCTCAGAAGATGCAGAGGAGGAGAGCTGGAAAGACAGTAGTAACAAAATCTGAAAGAGAACGTAGGCGCAGCAGTTGGGGTGAAAACAGTTGAACAGCTACGAGGAGATGGCCGTTAGCGTCGCGCCGGTCGAGGCGCCGAGGAACAGACGAGCTACTGGTACGAGTGAATGAATTACTAGACGTACACGTATGCCACCCCCTCCCCCCTCACTGTGCTTTGGGCCCCACATGTCAGTGACTGATACGGCATAGGCAACACGGCAGAGGAGTAGAGGACTCGTTCTTTTCCTTTAGAAGAAAATATTTTGCTCTGATCCAACAAAAATATCGAGAATAAACTAACAGTAAATGTACTGCATGTACCTTCATGCCTCAGTTTCAACTGTCCAAAAGACCGATCAGTACTCCTACTGATGTCAATGTATTGATCAGTTGTCAAAGGGTGTTTCTCTTCGTTTTGGTGTGGATGAAAAGGTTCGGTTTTTAAAATGAATTGACTGTGGTAATCCGGTGTGAATGTAGAGGTCGGATTTCAATTATTTTTTAAGAAAAAAAGAAAATTTAGAAAAACTAAAACCATGAGACAGAAAAATGCCAAAGGGAACATTGGTTTTTAGTCAGCAGAATTTCCAAAGGCGCAACATGCAAAAAGAAAAGCTCCTTTCTTTTCCTACTTGGCCGCCGCTCGTGACCAAGCTCTCTTGTCCCTGTCCGTCCCTCCACTGCGGCGAGTGGCCGAAGTCCGTGCCGTAACGTTCGGCCAGGAGCACGATGATAGAAAAAACTAACCAATTCAGCTTCCGACTGAAGTGGGGAATAAATCTCCGCACAAACCCTTTACAACTCGAGAGAATTTAGAACCTATCCTAGAAGTAATCAAGGAAACACACACGCGTGTCAAGAACTGAACCCAAAAAAGAATTAGCCGAATCCGAGTTATTTTAGTGAAAAAACCGTTTCTTGGATGCAGTAGTCTAGTTGCAGCTAGTTGTGCGCTAGTCTAGTCGTCCTCTTCACATGGCGGCCTGCGCGTAGGAACCGAGCCTTTTCTTCTTCTTCTTCTTCTTCTTCTCCACTACAATCCCGGGTAATCTTGCCATTCCCCTGTCTCGTCTCTGCCTTTTCTGCGCCAAAAGTTGTAGTAGGCTTGTGGGAGTAGTAGTAGCTTCCCTGAATTCTGCACCTGTTCCTTGTTCCTCGCGCTCTGCTGCTCTTCTTCTCGCAATTACTCCTTGCCGTTCTTGATGAGCCATTAATGGTGGAGGGGAGTTATAAGCTGCCCAGTTATGGAAGTTTTGCTGATCTGATGCGGTGGTGGTAGGCGTTTCGATCCTTTCGCGAGCCGGTTGTTCCTTGGCTTGCAGGCAGGCAGGGATGGAAACTGTAGCCTACGCCTCACGCGTTGCCGAGAGAGAGGCAGCTCATTTGCCGTCGAATTGATGGAAAAGAGAGCGTGAGTAGTAAAGAGGACAGCTTTTTCCTTAACGCCTCTCCGTGTGCTCCTCTCCGTTCTGGAAATCGATCAAGCGGCCAGCCATCTCCATCTCCATCGTCTTCTTCTTCTTCCTTCTCCTGGAGCCCTTTGGGTTTTGGTGGTGTCTGATCGTCTGATACTCTGATTGCTAGTTTTGGGGGATTGTTACTAGTGCAGAAAAGCTGACTGTTTTGTCTCTTCTTATCCATTCTAGTAAGTGGTACTCTTGTGCCATCGGCTTGATTCTTCCTTGGTCCCTTTGATATCTTGGTTTAGGTCCTAAGTCCTCTTCACCTAATCTTGTTTTTCTTTTGTTCCTTCGGTTGGTGAGTCATAGGCTATCTCAGTGTTGCCTCCGGTTCTTATATAACCTTCCAGTCCTCTTGCTCTTTAACCTGTTCTTGTACACTTCACATTAGTCCATTTTCCTTCTGTTTCCCAAGGTTTTTGTTGCAAGTGCACACTCTTCTCATCAACAAGAGGTGTTCTGCTCTGTGTTGGGAGGTCAGGAGACAGTGCTTAGCTTGCAGGCCGGCGTTGGATGCTGCGTGGTGAGCTCTGAGGTGAGGAATCTGATGCCCTCTCCACTTCTACTCAATGATGAATCATCTTTAGTTCACTTTTGTTCTTTTCAGCCTTCGAGTGACCATGCAAACGAAACGAGCATAGGTTCACTTGGTTTTAATTGACAGCTTTGGGTTTATGTTGTAAAGTTTGTTTTGTGCTTGCCTCTTGCTTGAGTCTTTGAGAAAAGATGGTTTCAACTTTCTTGTTTCCTTTGTACGTGTTCTTGTGCCTAGGCTTCCATTTTGGCCGTGTTAAAAGGTGCAACAAAGCGTTGTGCTGGTGAATGCGTTCTTTAAGCCGTTGATGAATGCATTTAAGGTCATCTTTTTTGGTTGGGCTAGGAGTGTAGTAGTGCTTTTTGCAGCGTGGGCGCCGCTGCAACTTTTGGTTTTATTTCTAACCAACTTCTCTTTTCTCCGGTTGACTTGATACACAATAGTTGATGCAGCAAGAACTTCTTGGTTATTTTTTTTCCTTTGATCTTTTTGGCACTCACACCCTTTCTTCTCTTGGTCTGAATTAAGTGAGAGAGACTGAGAGTTGAGAATATCCCAGAGGTCAGTTTTCTGGTTTCTCAAGCATAATTCAACACTTGTAAATTCATTTGGTTCGGTATTGCCTTTTTTCCTATGTACATCTCGTGCAGTCTTGATCAGGTTTCCCGTGCCTGTACGGCTTGTGTTTTTCAAGTACTGATACTAATTTTGCTAGAATCCAACATCTAATGCTTCAGTAGGCTACTTGCTTTCAGTTTCAGCAGTGCATTTTAAGCAATGAAGTACACTTAGTACTAGCTTGCTCTCTTTTGTTTCTACTGGAAGGAAAGCATTCAGAGTTCTGATACTACAAAAGTACTATATTTATGGGTGCCTGGGTGGAGTGTACGAGATGATCTTACGGAGAAAGTATTAATTGTGTGCTGTTATTAGCTTATTGCTGATGAGATGGTACAATATTATCGCTGGCAACAATCATTGGTTGTTTCCATTAGGAATAAGAGAGATTCCTTTCATGGTTAGATCCTACTGATACCAAGCATTTTGTGTGTATAAACATTTCTGCACCAGCTGCAGTGTGCATGTTTCTTCCACGACTTTGTTTTGAGCAAGAGGGGATGTTCCATAAGAAAGAAGTAACATGGCATTCTCTCTTCATAGTTGTCAATAATTTCAGTTGTTTTGTAGTTTATTGGCCAGCCACAAAATCGTATGCACGTTTCTTCCATGATCGATGGGCAAAATTTTGTTACGTGGTACAAATGCTGATTCCATTTCGTTTTGGCATTTTATTGCAATTTACCCAAAGTCCTTGACTCCATGCCTATTTTTCAATTACTTTCTAATCTGGCATTGGTGTTCAGAAATTGCTATATCTGAACCTAGATTTTCAGTTTCGGTGGTCTTTTTTTTGTTCAGTCAACTGAGCAAGCTTGCAACTCTTTTGTTGTGCAGGTGATCAAGGTCTCGTTTCACGACGAGTAGTAGAGTTCCCATTACCAGAGCTAAAGATGGAACTTGTCTACTTGGAAAGGAGAAATGGATTCGATGAAGATAGCACCTCTCCAGAGTTCAGTGGAAGGTCAGCAATTGACCATCAACAGCTGTCCATTGCTACACCTGAGGTTGAGTCTGATTTGGGACAGACAATCTACAAGCAGCCATTGCCATCAGATGAGAAGAAAAGCAGGAGCTGCCAGTCATGTCACAAGTCACCATGTTCTTGCAGGAGCGAAGTATTCCATTCAGATTTGTACCCGACACTTCCTGCGAAGATGATGATACTGGAATTCCTCATCAGAAGCCTGAGGCACCCAAGAAGAACCCACAATGTGAGTGATCTTGATGACATGATCAGCAATGGAGCTAGCACAGGGAGTGTAGTTCTTGGTCCTTCGGAGAAAATGATGTTGGATTCTTTGCATTCACTTGTTGATGCGAAAACGAGGCCAAAAAGTCCTTCATTCTTCCACTCAGGAACCAAGATGAGAAAAGCTCGGTCAAAATCCCACATCATAACACAGTCAGAGATACTGAAGCTGATATCTCCTGAGACATGGGAGATCTCCTCCCCTGGCGTGTCGCCGTTGAAGAAGAGCACAGCTGAGTTGAGCATGCATGAGAAGATGGTGTCCTCAGATACACCATCCATGAGTTCAAATCAACCTGTTCTGTCCTCATGTCCATCTTCTTTAAGTGCAGGGCTTCTACAATGCATATGGAAGGATGGGCTTCCACACTTTGAACTGTCACTGGACAATCCTATGGCAGTATACACTGCCAATCCTACAAAGGCCCATGACAATGACAAGCCCCTTGACTATGTCTATTTGTTCCATTCAGGAGAGCAAGGGAGAAAAGATTGGTTAGGCAACTCAAGCAGTGTATCACGGCTTGTCGGCAAGATGAAGGTGTCAAGTTCTTTGGTTCTGAACCCAGACAAGTCTACTTCTATGGAGACAGAGTTTGTCCTGTATGGTTCTCCGGATGACTACCTGAGGCAAATGCAAAGTTCATATGGTGTTACAAAAGGCAAGGGGCTAGCCAAGAGAGTGGCAGACATTATGAAGCCATCCAATTTGAACTCTAGTCCGAAACATGTGTGGAAGTTTGGCAAATCGTCCTCCCAACAGATTGATGAGATGACTGAAATACCTGAAGGTGAACAGTGCAGTGCCAAAGAATCAGTCCTCAAGAACCTCGTCGCTGATGATTTGCCTACCAACCAGGAGATAGCAGCAATTGTAGTACGAAAACAGCGGCGCGAACGTCGGAAATCACCTGTTCTTGGTGGATGGGGGCTCAAGTTCCTTGAGAAAGCTGGAGCTACTCATCCAGGGAGCACTGAAGATGGTGATGTTCAGAACAAGAAAAATAATGCAGGGAGTGTAAGTGCCATATTTCCCCGAGGCTACCATGGCGGCGCGGCTTCCAAGAACGGCAGCCCTGCCAGCCTCATCGGAAGATGGAGGTCCGGTGGGCGCTGTGATTGTGGCGGATGGGATATTGGTTGCCCAATCAGAGTACTGCAGAATGATGGCTGTGGTACTTCGCCTCAGGCAGAGTCCCAGTCACAGGACAGGAAATCAGTAGAGCTCTCAGTCAAGGTAACACTAGGCTCTTCAGTAGATTTTTTGTGATTTCTTGAAGATTTTAGAATCTAGTGTTGATGCAATAGAATAGCTTTCTGATCCTTCTTCCTACTGTTTGTCAGGGTGCGAAGAAGGGACCAATGTTCAGGCTTGTGAACATCACAGATGACCTGCACATCATATACTTCGACTCCAGTCTTTCGCCTTTGCAATGCTTCTCGGCAGGAATAGCGATTATCCACAGCCAGGCGCCTCACCTCTATCCAAAACTCTGAAGACACATTGTTGGTCTTGTCTAATATATAGAAGATTTGAAACATGTCTTGATCTTGCATATTTCCTTTCGCTTTGGTTTCATAAAGAAAAGGTGCAGGTTATCCTCATGTTAAATTGTTAATATCCATTGTTAATCTTGTTTAACGCTATAATGTTTTATAAGCTGGAAGGAGTAGGATATTAGGATATATCTTACTAATGTAAATTTTGTTTCAATGAATTGGAGGGGGAAAGACAGGTTCCCTCCTGTTAAAACTGATTCGGCCAAAACGAGAGAAGCGCATAAATAAATCTTTACACAGCTCCGTTTTGCTAAATACCAATTCTCTTTTTCTCAAATTTGTCAGATTTACAAGTGCAGATCACAACTCTAAAAACCAATTCTCAATGTTGCAACACAGTTCTATACGATACCTTCCTACAGGGCGCAGGCCAGTCCGTCAAAACCGATAACCGAGGAACATAAAATCGATCAAACCGACATCATAGAGGAGCATTAGAAACCATACAGTAGTAGTATGTACAAATAAAATTCAAGAAAATTGCCAGCTGCACAATTGAAATAGACAACCCAAGCAAACTAAATAACGTTTTTTCTAGATAATTACAGCAAAACGTAAAATCAACTGCAGGCATCATTTGACAACACCACACATTTCAATCATACACGAGAACAGCAGAAAGATAGATGGCAAATAAAATATCATATGGATGGCAACTTCTGTTCACTACAAAACTGCAACGGGCAAACAAACGATAGCATCACAAAGTTCCACAGTTGTCCTAGTAAACCATTTGCAGACGATCCTGAGGTCATATAGCTGTCTTACAATTCATTCAAACAAGCTCAGACAATAGCATTTGCTGCACTAGCTATCCTAGGCCAAAGGTCAGCACACTCCTTCCCGATGGGTCCAGTGATAGCAGAACCTGATAGAACATATAGACCATATATAATCAGTTAACATGTCCAATTTAGATTATTCAGCATCAAGAAAGTCAAGTTCTGCATTGTTACCTTTCATCTCACCCTTAGGATTCACAATCACTCCAGCATTATCTGCAAATGAATCACAACAACAATCAGCTAAATGGTTTTGGAGTTTATCATAGGAGTAGCAAAATAAACCAAGCAAACTAATAATAACTACCAGTCCAAGAACAACTTATATGAAAATATGGAATAATTGATTTTCCAAATTGAATGAACTGAGTAAAAATGACTGCCTCATGGCCTAGACCGAATGTTTAATTGCGGCAACGCCACTAACAAGGGCCATGGAATATGAGTCTACATTCAGATGGAGCAATTCCTAGGGAAAACCTCAACATCCAAATGTTTACTTTATGACGTCTACCTGGGACTATGCAAACATGAGGTTTGCTCCAAAAAGGTTGAGGGACTCAGATGTCCCTCCATCAAATAGCAACAACTTTAGGCATTACAAATACAAATGAGAAAATTGAAGGTGAGCTGTTAAAATGACTGCCTCATGGCCTAGACCCAATGTTTAATTGCAACAACGCCACTAACAAGGGCCATGGAATATGAGTCTGCCAACAGATGGAGGAATTCTGAAAAAACCTCAACATCCACAGGCTTACTTTATGACGTTAGATTAGGACTATGCAAACATGTAAGGTTTGCTCCAAAAAAATGCTGAAGGACTCGGATGTCCCCCCGTCAATAGAAGAAATGTTGCATGGGATAACAAAAGAAGTTCCAAATAAAATGTAAGATATCTAACAGAGAACAAAATATGATTGTTAGGAAGCATTTAAAATGATTGCCTCATGGCCTAGACCCAATGTTTAATTGCAGCAACGCCGCTAACAAGGGCCATGGAATATGAGTCTGCCATCAGATGGAGGAAGTCACAAGGAAAACCTCAACACCCAAAGGCTTACTTTATGACGTTTGCCTAGGAATATGCAAACATGTGAGGTTTGCTCCTTAAAGGCTGAAGGACTCGGATGTCCCCCCGTCAAGCAGTAAAGTGTACAAGTTAATCACAACAAAAACAGAGTGCTGAACAATTATAAATTTGTCATACAAAGTACAACTCTAGGATTGGATATGGAAATAACAAAATACATTTGTAGAAATAAAAAGTACAAAATAAAAAAAATGAGAAATGGTGTAACTGTGTGCAATAAAAATGATGACTCATGGCCTAGACACAATATTTCTATGCAGCAATGCTAAATCACAGATAACCTGGGATATGGGATATAATACAGAATGTAAAGTTCAGTATACAAATATATATAATAAATACGTTGCAAAGAAATGTCTATTTTAAAATGATCTCATCTAGAATGATATTCACTGATATAACGTAAGATAAAAATTACCATGAATATTACAGAGAATTAAATACAGCACAAGAAAAATAGGGCATATTTGAATTTTAGGTTGGGGGAATATTCGCCTCATGGCCAATCCCAAATTTTCAAGGCAGCAACGCCGCTACACAAGGCAATGGAATATGAGGCAGCCCACAGATGGAGGACATGGATAAAGGAAAAATCTTTCATGCAAAAACCTCAACACCCGAGGGCTTAATCTCTGACGTTTACTTTGGAATATACAGATACTGTAATATCTGCTCCAGTTTAAGCTGGAGAGCCCGGCGGCCCTCCCGTCATCCACACTCTAACCAAACATCTAAACTAACAGTAGCAAAGGACACAGGTATAATATAGGGTTCAAATTTCGCAGCACACGATTATTGCAAGAAGAAAACAACAGGTGTAAGAGGTGATCTGTGAATAATACCTTCGAAGTACATGTAGACACAGTAGCAAAGCACACAAGTATAATATAGGGTTCAAATTTCGCATCACATGATAATTACAACAACAAAACAACAGGTGTAAGAGGTGTAAGAGGTCATCTGTGAATAATACCTTCGAAGTACATGTAGACACCGTCCTTGCGGCGCCACGGCTTGCGCTGGCGGACGATGACGGCGGGCATGACCTTCTTACGGAGATCGGGCTTGCCCTTCTTGACGGTGGCCATGACCATGTCGCCGACGCAGGCGGACGGGAGGCGGTTGAGGCGGCCCTTGATGCCCTTCACGGAGATGATGTAGAGGTTCTTGGCCCCGGTGTTGTCCGCGCAGTTCACCGTCGCCGCCACAGGCAGACCCAGCGACATCCGGAACTTGTTCCCCGCCGACCCTCCCCTCCCTGCATCACCATCAGATCGCAACACGAAACAAACAGATTAGAGCGCAAGATTTGCAAGCACAGTGGTTGAATCGAATGGAAAAATATTCCACGGATCGAGTGGGAACGAAGAGGAAGAATGGTTTACCTCGCTTCGACATGGTGGCGGCTGGGGTGGGATCCGATTGCTAGGGCTTGGCTTGAGTCGCTACTTATAGATCCGAGGATTAGGGTTTTGGGGCACCCGAAAAGACTAAAATGCCCCTGTACAAGCTAGGGCACTGCAGTGCGGGCTGCGGGGTAAGGGTATCACGGTCTTTCAATACCGAGGGCGAGGAGGCTTCAAGGTGGCGGCGGCTCTGTGCTTGGTTTAGTGGACCGGGAAAGAGAAAAGAACAAAAGGGCTTCCTGGCCCACGTAATGTCTGGTTATGGCCACAATTGAAGGCCCGTGTGAGTGAGTCGGCGAGCTCCGGACTCGGGGCGCGGGAGCAAGAGAAATGTTCGAGAGTTTGACCTAATTTAATGTGTTGTTTTCAAATCGGAGCCTTATTGGCAACCGAAGGAAGATGTTCGTGCAAATATGAATCGCTGTATGAACCAGATTTCGTGTCGTACAGTACAAGTTTTCAGTCATATACTGAGGCATGACATGACATTTCTTAGGTGACCAGAAACCAGAATAAGAATAAGGTTGTGTTTATTTCATGCCAAAATTGGAAGTTTTGTTGAAATTGGAACGGTGTGACGGAAAAGTTGAAAGTTTATGTGTGTAGGAAAGTTTTGATGTGATGGAAAAGTTGGAAGTTTGAAGATTTGAAACTAAACACGGCCTAAACTTCTCAAGTTCTGAACGGCCAAAAAGGAGAAAAAAAATAACGACATGATCCATGAGACTACAATGTATACGTAAGAAAACTACCCTTTCACTGCAAATAGCACAAATTACCATAGCACACTACCGATAGCTTGTTTGTCACCAAGAGGATAAATCATAGCCTCAGTTCAGTAGCATGATCCCCTCATTGTCAACTGTTCCATTTTTTTTCACTCAAGCTGACAACACATTGGCCATATAGAAAATGCACATTCACAGTTGCATGGTGGAATTTATCCAGAATGACAAATTCGCAGTTGATGCAGAAATTCAGCAGAAAGCTCACAGATCTTAGTCTGGCCAGTTTTCACATTGAACTTCTGATTTTTGAACTCAGCAAGTCAGCAAAAGGAAGTGGAATAGTACTCTGTTACCTGGTTATCCTCCCCATATGAACATATGTAAATGCCATGTACAAAAGCACATTTGTGCTGCAGGTAGTAAAATCTAAATCAATTACGCATCACATTGGTCTCAAAAGAGAAGTAATAAACCATTAACGGCATCATCCATAAAACCAGAAATAGAGCTGAATATGATATCCAGAAAACACGAACACAGAATATTCAACGAAACGAAACATTACTAAACAGATCATTCCAACTCTAGCCTTGGTTCTGAACAGAAAGATAAAGAAACAAGTTATCATCAAAGCATAGACTTGAAGGTAATCAGAAGAACATATGACTTCCTGTCAGTGTGTTTCAGATTGGCAAGTCATTTATAAATAAGAGCTGTGCTGCCTCCTGCCTGCTAGCCAGCAGGCAGCATGTACATTGCTAAGCTCACAATGCATAGCAACTAGCAGACGGTCTGTTCACATTGCTTTGCGGAGCAACAGCCTACAGTAATGCAGAGAGCATGATCTATCATCAAGAGGCCACATAACATCTACACTTCTACAGTTCAATTGTTCCTTTGTCCCTCAGCCTCAAACTCTGTAAGAAATGTGAATCACAATTACAGGGCGCAATGATACACAATTGCAAACTCGCAACCAACTGCACAAATTCAGCATAACCAACCTCTCACAAATCGTTCAGTCAATCGTAAACTAATAATCCTCAGCCAAAATCAAGATTTACATGTACAATTCACCCTATTGTTCTGATCTCCTGAAGTCGCCAAACTAGCTATCATCTTTCAGCTTCCTGACCTTGTCGAGGAATGCTTGCCGGCCGGGGAACGGGTTCCCTCCCTGACCGCCGGAACCAGGCAACACCTTCTCGCCGAGCACCTCACCGCCGCGGCTCCTGCGCCGACCCAATCCCAAAATGTCCGTCTTGGCCGTCGTCCTAGTACGGGCCTTCCTCGGCGTCCCTAGAACACCGCCGTCCTTGACGCCGGCGTTCACCCCGAGCATATCCAACTTGGCACCCCTCACCTGCGTCTCCCTCCTCAGCCGCATCCGCTCCCTCCTCTCGTCCCGCTTCCCTCGCGGGCCGTCCGTTTCAGCCCCGATGTCGAACAGGGAGCTGGTGGTGGTTTGCCTCCGGCCGCCCTTTCGCGGGATGCGGCCACCGTAGGAGGTGCCGAGGAGGCGGAAGTCGAGGCGGCTCCACCCCTCCTCGTCGGAGAGGTCCCAGCCGAAGCGGTCGGCCATCTCATGGAGCGGCCCATCCTCGCCGTCGCCGTCGTAGTCGGTGTCCCCGCGGAGGAAGCGGTGCGCGTGCTCCCACTCGACGCGGTCGACGTAGACCGGGTCGTCGAGCACCTCCCGCGCGAGGCTCGCCCATGCCGCGGTGTCCCCGTAGTCGAGCTCGGCGACGACCCACCGCAGGTAGGACGGCGGGAGCGTGCCCAGCATCTGCCCCTTGTGCTTCCCGAAGTCAATCACGCGGTCCCTTGCCGGGCGCGAGGACGCCGCCGGCCCCGGCGAGGCGGCGGCTCTGAGAGGCCGGAGGAGCATGATGCGGGTTCGGAGCGCCGCGAGGGGGCGCCTGCGGTGGTGAGGGATAGGAGTGTGGCGAAGGAGAGGAATCGCCCCGGGCGAGGATACCGGCGGCGCCGGTGAGGAGGAGAGGCAGGGTCTCGCGGCGCCGGCGCCGGCGGCGAGGGGGAGCATCCTGCACTCGTGTGTGGCGGCCGGTGAGCGGTTCCCGGTGGAGAGGCGCCGCTGCGTTATTCGCATTCGCGGCGGGTGAAATTATCCACTCGCCCACAAGATGGGCCGTACCAAAGCCTAATATTGCCTTGCTTCTATGGGCCAAAATTGATGGTTGCTTCACTTTAAACTTGTGGCCCATACATATGGATGAGCATTCCGAAGGAAAGAGCCCATGAAACCCATTCCGAGGTGAAGCCGTAGTTCTAAAATTTGGGAATTTCGCTGAATATCCGTAGGGTTAAAGACAAATGAGATTGCTACGACTGAATATTTCGTATTTGGCCAGTATGTTGAACTGTTGATAAGATTTTACAAAAAAAATGGAACCAAAGTAAATTTCACAGGTACTAGAAGCCTAGTGTGGTAACATCACAAAAGGAATGAAACGTGGTAAATCGGTTTGATCGAAAGTTAGCCCATGATGTTTAAACCAGCAAAATGATCAATGTGTTCAGGTGACAAAAACGAAAATTGCACCAGCCGGGAATCGAACCCGGGTCTGTACCGTGGCAGGGTACTATTCTACCACTAGACCACTGGTGCGCTTATGCTGATAAGTCGACAGAAAAATTAATATCATTTCTTTACAACCTGGAAAACAGAATATGACTCTTGATGTCTGGTAGTTTCGTGATAAAAATTTCCACACTGCTGATTGCTCCCGTGAACTATACAACCTACCTGAATCTCGAATCTTTCTATGAACGGCCGCACCAACTGAGCAGCTGAGCTTCTTCTTGACATGGAAAAGCAAAGCTGTTCAACTACTTCCAGAAATACCAACTGATCTCAAGAAACAAAACGAGCCCTCACCAAATCTTCCGGACTTTCGGTGCCCCCATTTCCGTCAGCCGACGTACAGCGAAAGAGCAGATATACGTACATTTACACCACGAGGGAGAATACCAAGGAACGAGACGATGTTTCCCCTCACTGCTCCGCGTTGCGCTGACGAAACCGATGGCCGATCGATTTGTGCCCGGCCGACGTATGCGACGCGACGGTAGATCCATCGGCGGGAGGTCTCCCTTTCCTGCGGGCGCTTGTCACCTTCGTCCCCCCCATCTCACGGACGCGGCAGCTAGCGGCGGTGACGCGGCTACTTGCTCCGGCCCTACGGGCTTGTCGCCAGGGGCGGATTCACAATGGAGATGGAGGGGTCTTGAGACCCCACTACCACCCTCGGACAGTGGAGACCCCTAAGCCTCCACTAATTTTTTTTCTATGGATCCATAGGATGTGAGAATTGGAGGTTCGATTTATACTGATGTAGTTTATTCAACCCTTACTATTATATTTTTCTAGATATGTCTCTGCTCGTCGCTACCCAAAAACATGTACAAAGCCGGTGGTGATGGAAGCAGCAGTGATCGATCGATCGATCGATCGTCTGATGATGGAGTACAGACAGCAAAACAAGCGGAATAAAGAGGGGATTGGAAGGTAGTAGCTACTCCAGCTACTAGTACACTGCAGGTCCGGATTTGTGTTCGGCTCACCTAGAGAGGTAGAGATCGCGTGGTAGATGCGTTGCCAGTATCTAGAGCTAGAAACCGGTCGCGATCCATGTGAACACGCACGCCCGGCCGTAATCCGTAGAACAGTAGATAGCTCTGCTCCTCGATCGATCAGAAGGATATGTACCGAGGATTATTGCAAAGAAGCACATTACCAGTGCCCATCTCGTCGGTTTGGCACTGTTTGATGATTGATGCTGCGAAAACGTACCAGCGATGCCATGCCACTGAACCCCAAGCAGGCTACAGATCTGCAGATGCATATGCCAGTGGAAGACGTACATGCATGTACGCGCGTGCGTGCACGTATGCTGCTGCTACCACGGCGTTCGCGCGTGTTGGGCTTGGACCGGAGCTAGCGCCAAGCCGCCAACTCGATCGAGAAACCGTGGGTCTCGGCACGTTTCGGCCGCGGTCTTTCGTGTCCGCATTGGGGACGCCACGAGCCCGCGGAGTCGAGTCGGCAACGATCTCACTTCTCACCTCCCACGACGCACGCACGGCGCTCGAGCTGTGCGCGCGCGTGCGTGCGTGCGTGTTGCTTTCGATGGGTGTGGTTGGCTAATCTCGCCGCGCGGAGCTCTTCACGGCGGACGCGACGCGTGCACCGCCGTATCGGAAGCGAATACGGCCACGGAGAAGGCTATGTACGACTCCGATTCCATCGATCGGTATTGCGCCCTCGACGGCGAAAGCCCGACAGCCACGCGCGTACACGCGTGCCCGCCCACCTGCTAGTGTGGCTGGCCTGTAACAAGCCAGCTTCGTGTGGCACTATGGCTCAGATAGTCAGATCACCATCCGTATAATTGACTATATTATCCCGATCTCGTGCTAGATCTGTGGAGCTTTACACGGGTAGATAGATGCAGTGATCGATGCACTAGTATTACATGGGTATACTGTTCCGTGTTCCCGCGTATGCACTAGTATGTCACATGTCACATATAGCAAAGCTAGCTAGAGCAAGCAGTGGGCAAGCAAGAGAGAGCTGCATGCGTCGTCGATCGCTAGCTTTTCTTTTTCTTTTTTCTCCTTGCTGTCTCAATCCTGATATCATTTAGTTCCACAAGCTATAATAGTCAAGCTGATACCACTATGCTGATAAGAGTGGTAACTAACGGTGTCCCGTAAAACTTGCCGATGTCATGTTGGAAGTTAGTAGACCGTGCAGTGGTGGGGACTGCGCGCCTACTGATCGACGACGTACACACAGTGGCGAATCCACTGTTGGGGCTCCAGCCCCAGCTCTGGCTGACAAGGATTAACCCCAGATATCTATGCGCAGTGAGTTTATAGTGCCACCAAAATTAATTACAGCAGACAGCCAACCAATGATGCATGGCTATTGGCTGGAGACGTTTAGGGTGAAAGAAATGATGTGGATTTCTTTTACTCTCGTGTTCTAGTAGTTGTCAGTGTGTAGCCCATACCTATAATCTTTCAATCTTCTTCACTCTTCAGTTTCTTTCATTCTTTAATCCACTACATTTTTTTCTATCCATATAGGATTTTGAAATATTATTGATATAGGTCAAAGACATGATTATTTTGTATTATGACGTTAAATAAAGCCCCACCTATATTTTCATCCTACATTCGTCACTGCGTACACACACGAGTATTGGTACTGTGCAAGGGGGGCAACAAGTCTATAAATGCAGGTCCCAGTATCGCTAGCTACCTATCGGAACAGCTCTCTCTAGCTAGCACATCAGTGTGAGAGCTTCAGGCAAAGCTGCTGCCGAGAGTGAGCAGCAAGCTGGACAGTCAGTCAGCTAGCTATAGCTAGTAATGGCGGTGACCGAGAGCTTGCCGTTGCCGGCCATGGAGAACGGCGAGGGTAAGGGAGGCGGCGAGTACACGCAGGACGGGTCGGTGGATCTCCGGGGAAACCCCGTGCTCCGTTCCAAGAGAGGCGGCTGGACCGCCTGCTCCTTCATCGTAGGTTAGTTGCTTCTTCCATGTCTCCGGCGACCTCAGCTAGCTGCCGTATGTGGCATGGCGCCATGGACGATGCAGTGATAGATGAAACTGATCATTACTGTGATCTGAGCTGATGGATAACGTACTGTACTGTGCAGTGTACGAGTTGTTCGAGAGGATGGCGTACTACGGGATAGCGTCGAACCTGGTGATATACCTGACGGACAAGCTCCACCAGGGGACGGTGGAGGCGTCCAACAACGTCACGAACTGGTCCGGCGCCGTCTTCATCATGCCCTTGCTCGGAGCCTACGCCGCCGACGCCTACCTCGGCCGCTACTGGACCTTCGTCGCCGGCTCCGCCATATACTTCTTGGTATCACCGTCTAACTTCACCCTTTTTTTAATTTTCTTAATTAGGCCCTGTTTAGATTCTCTAAAATGGCAAAAATGTACCATTTTGAAGCACTTTTTTGTTATTTTTATCTAAACACTAATAGTAAAAGTTGGCAATTTGCTTTTTGACATTTGCTAGTCCATAGTAGTAAATTGTGCCAAAAAGTGATTTGGAACCACTCTCTCCCCACACCAAAAAGTACTAGAATAACAAAAGTTTAGGATACATCTAAACACCAACTATTACTTTTGCAATGCCAAAACTTTTACTGCCAAAACTTTTGCCATTTATCATTTGCCATTCCAAATTAATCTAAAATGCCTTTAATCATCGTATTGAGAAGCTATTTAGCTAGCAAGATATGTTTGGTAAGTAGCCCGTGCAGATATTACTCAATGATTTTCCGATGATTTGAATTTTAGTCTCCTCAATCGTTAGATTAGATGATTAGCATCAATGGATGGACGAATTGTCGTATTTGCATGGAGTTACTAGACTAGAGAGTGGACTTGGTAAGCAAATCGATCTGCAGTTTTTGTTTGACTCACTAGTGGGCCAAGTCAGAGACTGCCCTGCGCTGCACCTTACAATTAGCACGTTTCACTTACGCAGAAATTAAACCACGCTGCTTCTCCCAAACTAATGATTAGTAGCTCACGTGATTACTGCTTACCTGCAAAAACTCTACTTCCTCCGTTTTACAATACAAGTCATTCTAACATTTTCTATATTTATATTGATGTTAATGAATCTAGATATATATATATCTATCTAGATTCATTAACATCACTATGAATGTGGGAAATGCTAAAATGATTTACATTCTGAAACGGAGCGAGTACTAGTTACACGTTTTGTATGTTTTCCCAGCTTGGTGGAATTTGGGGCCGACCATTCGTTCGAGGTCCATTATTAGGGCTTTAAGTTACACTGTAAAGCTAATTCAGATTGCAACATTACGATTCCACTTAGACGTCATGTTATATATGTACTTCATACAGAGCAACTTTATCTAATCTAGAAGCCTGAAATTTCACTAATTAAGGCATGTCTTCTGTGAGCCATATTCGGTAGGAAATATATAGCTGTCATGCAGCTTTAAGTCTATAGTAAGGCTTATCGTGCTTAATTTTCGTTAATTAGTAGGGGGCCAGACTTAACGTACAGTTTGATGTTAACGTGCAATTCCACGGGTGTGAAATGCTGTGTTGT